GCCTGTTGTAGCCACCATGGCATTATGGGGAAACTAGTTCACATATCTATAATGGCAGTGAATCAATGTATTCTATAACGGTGAAATAGTTTTCAGCAAAAAAACTGTAAAAAACTTCCTGAATTTAAGGCAGCTCCTTTGTTTCCTGTCTTTCATTACTGGACGAACTGATTAATCCAGGTGTGTCTGGCCAGTTACTTAGGTCATACACACCTGGATTAATCAGTGCATCCAATCATGAAAGACAGGAAACAAAGGAGCTGCATTAAATTCAGGAAGTAGTGGAGCTGTGCATAGAGCCTATAGGTGAAAGCGTTTGATGAGGGGCTACTCTTATGTCTATGAGTGAAACTGTCCATAGTTGATTAGAATAACTCACAGTAGCTTTTATGAAACTGAAAACTCAGTGTCCAACCTCAGGCTAGATCAATTCAGAGTTGAGGATTTGACTCAGTTTGTCAACCCTGCTTTGTGGTGTGCAGGTGGAGCAGCGGTTAGCGTGCACGACCCATGCCTTAGTCGCGGGCGACCCGGGTTCGAATTGGCCTGCAGTCTTTTCCCACGTCTCTACCCTCTCTCTCATACCCCCTTTCCTGTAAGCTGTCAAAAAAACGAGCTACTACTGCTGTAAAAGCTGAAAAAAAAAACCTGCTTTGTAAATTTGACCGCAGAAAGCTTGATAGCTGTTATTCTGAGTCTGATTTAGACCGCAATTTACTCTGCGAGCTAACTCTGGTCGGTAGCAGGACTTCTAGAAGTTATCCTGAGTCTGTTGCACATTTCAGCTGAAATCAGAAATACTGTGTCATTTACCAGAGGAACATGTGGGTGTTTCAGACCATTTGCTCAACATAATTATATAAATATTTTCATCATTTTAGCCAAAGTGAATAATTCACATTTTCTTTATAAACTTTCAGCCACAGATCACTGGAATTATCTAACAATGACTAGTTCTTTGTTTTTTTGCTGAAGGCAAAATGTTGGATTTCAGATCTAGTTAGGTAAAATGGTAGCGCTCATAGAGAACTTTCTAAATATGAAAGGACATCTATGCGTGATCCGATTACCCTCTTCTAAATATTTAATTCTCTGCGAATTAATACCGATCATTCTTTAATTTAAACAGTGTTGGAGAAAAACATGCTGCAAAAAATGCATTTATATGGAAGCTCAGAGCATTAATATATATGGTGCAGATATGCAGTATTTTTGTTTGGTGTTATCAGTGCGATGCAGAGTCTGGGACATGATTTTGATTTTCTTTTTTTTAACAGTTCAGCAGTCTAATGGCGGTCGGGAAGAAACTGTTCTGGAATCTGCTGGACCTGCATCCAATGCTGCTAAGCCTCTTCCCAGAGGGCAGCAGGGAGAACAGTCCATGGTGGGGGTGTGAGGGGATATTTTTAATGTTACGACCTCGGGACACGCAGCACTGGGATGAAATGTCTTCAACGGAGGGAAGAGGAGCCCCGATGATCCTCTCTGCTGTTCTCACCACTCTTCTTCCAGTCTGAGGAGCTGCAGCCTCCACACCACAGTGAGACAGCTGGTCAGAACGCTCTCTATGGTGCTTCTGTAGAAGGTGGTGAGGATGGGTGGGGGCAGGTGGACTCTCCTCATCCTCCGCTGGAAGTACAGGTGCTGGTCATAAAATTAGAATATCATGAAAAAGTAGATTGATTTCAGTAATTCCATTTAAAAAGTGAAACTTGTATATTATATTCATACATTACATACAAACTCATATATTTCAGATGTTTATTTTGTTTAATTTTGATGATTACAAATGACAACAAATGAAAATCTCAAATTCATCATATCAGAAAATTAGAATATTGTGAAAAGGTTCAAAATTGATGGCCCCTGGTGCCACACTCTAATCAGCTAATTAACTCAAACCACCTGCAAAAGCCTTTAAATGGTCTTTCAGTCTAGTTCTATAGGCTACACAATCATGGGGAAGACTGCTGACTTGACAGTTGTCCAAAAGACGACCATCGACACCTTGCACAAGGAGGGCAAGACACAAAAGGTCTTCGCTAAAGAGGCTGGCTGTTCACAGAGCTCAGTGTCCAAGCACATTAATAGAGAGGCGAAGGGAAGGAAAAGATGTGGTCGAAAAAAGTGTACAAGCAAGAGAGATAACCGCACCCTGGAGAGGATTGTGAAACAAAACCCATTCAAAAATGTGGGGGAGATTCACAAAGAGTGGACTGCAGCTGGAGTGAGTGCTTCAAGAACCACCACACACAGACGTATGAAAGACATGGGTTTCTGCTCTCGCATTCCTTGTGTCAAGCCACTCTTGAACCACAGACAGCGTCAGAAGCGTCTTGCCTGGGCTAAAGAGAAACAGGACTGGACTGCTGGTGAGTGGTCCAAAGTCATGTTCTCTGATGAAAGTAAATTTTGCATTTCCTTTGGAAATCAAGGTCCCAGAGTCTGGAGGAAAAGAAGAGAGGCACTTCATCCACGTTGCTTGAAGTCCAGTGTAAAGTTTCCACAGTCAGTGATGGTTTGGGGTGCCATGTCATCTGCTGGTGTTGGTCCATTGTGTTTTCTGAGGTCCAGGGTCAACGCAGCCACATACCAGGAAGTTTTAGAGCACTTCATGCTTCCTGCAGCTGACCAACTTTTTGGAGATGCAGATTTCATTTTCCAACAGGACTTGGCACCTGCACACAGTGCCAAAGCTACCAGTACCTGGTTGAAGGACCATGGTATCCCTGTTCTTAATTGGCCAGCAAACTCTCCTGACCTTAACCCCATAGAAAATCTATGGGGTATTGTGAAGAAGAAGATGCAATACACCAGACCCAACAATTCAGAAGAGCTAAAAGCCACTATTAGAGCAACCTGGGCTATCATAACACCTGAGCAGTGCCACAGACTGATCGACTCCATGCCACGCCGCAATGCTGCAGTAATACAGGCCAAAGGAGGCCCAACTAAATACTGAGTGCTGTACATGCTCATACTTTTCATGTTCGTACTTTTCAGTTGGCCAACATTTCTATAAATCCTTTGTTTTTATTGGTCTTCAGTAATATTCTAATTTTCTGATATGATGAATTTGAGATTTTCATTTGTTGTCATTTGTAATCATCAAAATTAAACAAAATAAACATCTGAAATAAATGAGTTTGTATGTAATGTATGAATATAATATACAAGTTTCACTTTTTAAATGGAATTACTGAAATCAATCTACTTTTTCATGATATTCTAATTTTATGACCAGCACCTGTACATGGGCTTTTGTGCCCTTTTGACCAATTAGGTGGTGTTTACCTTCCAGGTGAGGGTGTCTGTGATGTTCACCCCCAGGAATTTGACCTTCTTTACAGGAGCTGAGCAGTTGATGAGCAGTGGAGCGTGGTAAGGCCGATTCTTCCTAGAGTCGACCATGATCTCCTTTGTCTTCTCTACATTCAGGATCAGGCTCTTATCTTTGTACCAGCTGGTCATTGTCATCTCTGATGAGGCCCACCACCGTGGTGTCGTCTGCAAACTTCACAATGTGATTTGTGGTGAACCTGGGGACGCAGCCCTGAGGGGAGCCTGTGCTTAGGATGATGACTTCAGAGGTGTTCTGTCTAACCCTGACAGATAGAGGTCTATTTGTGAGGAAGTCTAACAGCCAATTGTAGAGGGGTGTATTGAAGCCCAGCTGTTCCAGTTTGCCCATCAGATGCTGTGGGATGATAGAGCTGAAAGATGAAGTCCAGAAACAGCATCCACATGTGGGAGTTCTTCTTAACACCTAATTTCTAATGTAACAGAGGTAGGGGTGAGTTTTGTCATTGGTGTTACAATATGATGCAATATCACCATATATAGCAATATTTTTCCTGCTATCAAAAGGAAACCTATAGATAGAAAAGCTATCTCTGTATATGTTCAGATGATATTGATTGTTCAGTTATTTTGGTATCCATGTTGCTTGGGGTTTGTGTCAGTTCACGTCTTCCACTGTGACTGCCTCAACTACAGATAATGTGCTGCACCGCACAGCAAAGGACTCCACAGCCCTATCTGCCAGACTGGTGGTGAGGAGGTAGTAAACCATTTTCCTTTTATTGTTGTTAGAGTGATAACTATCCTGTGTTTCAACCAGAAGGGTCATAAACTTTTATGACCTCCTGTAGGTCATGAGGCAGAATCACACGGATGTGTGACTTCCATCCAGCCAGTTGGTCAATTCACACTATCTTGTTACCTGCATCCTCCCAGACAATGATTACTGGCTCTTCTGTTTTAGGCCCGCCTGTTTGATGTTGTAAACTTAACTTAATAAAAGGCTTTGCCATGAAGGGATCTGTGGGAGAAGGTGATGGCTTTCCAAGCCAGGATCTTCTCTCCACCCGGCACACACTGACGTCACAAAATCCCGTCTCTGTGTTGATCATTTTCCTTTTAATCTTTTAAACTCACATTTCTCTGGATTAAAACCCAACAATTGTTCAGACAAAACTGAGAGAAAACTGACTAAATCAGGAAATAAAACAATGTGACTGGCTTTCAGGAGGAAAGAGACAGGGTAAACTCAGTTCATGGAGTAAAACAGCTCCCAACCAGGTTAGCTCTGGGAGAAAAACAATATGGTAACAGAAATAGAGGTCAAGTAAACTCTATTCGATAAATGGAAAACTCACTTTTCTTGATTTCGGGTTTAAAAAAAAATACGTTTTCAGTAAATCTGCTTTGTGAAACGGGCCCTGAAAATAGAAAATCCTGAATATCACGAAGCAGAATAAGATGACTAAGGATAACGGCTCTCTAGTCTGTATACGATAATCTAAAACAGGGCCCAGGTGGTTAAAACCCATCGGTTTGGCTGCTTCTTCGGATCCTGGAAAAACGTCTTCCTGTCAGCGCTTTCGTCTGCTGTGAGCTCACTTTATCAAAATCCAACTCATTGCGCTTCGTTTTACATTCAACTTTGCTTAAGTTCGTTTGTTTTCACCTTAATCAAACACAAAAGACAGCAGACTGAATTAGCTTCTTAAATGAAAAGTAAAATTTATTATTCCTGAACCACAAAATAGACTTCTTTGGTTGTACAAATTCACTAGTTACAGTCTTATGTGAGCTATAACCCTCGACCCTAGGACATCTGACCCCCCCACACCCTCTGGCCTGTTAGCAAGTTAAAGCCCCAAAAATTAACTCAAGACGAAATAAGAAACACAGAAACATAAAAACACAGCATCATTGTAGTGAAACCCATCTGGGAAAAAAAAAAACATTGCCTACAAATAGTAAAAAACAAACAAACTGAATTTCAGTCAGTGAGAGCAACATGGAAACTAATCATAGACCCTACATTAAATTAAAATGCTACGACGCTGTGATTCTGCAGAGAAAAAATCCCCATGAGATACATGAGCTGAATGTTTTTAATGAAAGAGATTTCTGATTGGTTCAGCCTCTTGCAGCTCTCCCAATGAAACCAATATACATGAAAAGAACGTCCCAGTAACCAAGCCTAACCCCACCCAGGTGCTTCAGCAGTCCAGACAGGCTCAGTTTCAAACCCACATGTTCACTTCTTTCCTTTCAGTTTTTGTACAATATTCACACGATAAATGACTTTTCAGTGGCATCAGATTTAAATTAACCATAGTCAGAAAAATACAAACACCTGCTACCTTCACATCACTGTGGCAAAACTCCAGATAATGCAAAGATGCTAGGATAGTATTAATGGCTCACATTGATTTAGAAAAATAAAATAAAAATACAAAACACCCCCTTAGGAGGAGAAGTACCGTAGATAAATGATGCTAAAATGCATGATCCCAAGAATGAATACTATCAGAGGATGAGTATCTGCTGCGGTCTGGGTTTATCTGAGCAGACGCTCCATGGATGAGAGGAATCAGCTTGTTGATGCATCTCAGCACTTTAATGACCAACAAGGCGCTTTCTCTCAGATGTTTTAAACATTTCTACAGTTCCCCCTGTGATTTAAGTGTATTTATCAAGTAAATCTAAGTAGTGATATGCTGATGATTGGTTAAAACTTGTTAAAATGATGCGTCCAAACTCTGAGAATTGTAGGATGAAGGCCTTCGATTTTACTAAAATGATTAAAAACAATAAATTATGATACAGTGGCAGTGAATAAAAGATATGTGCTTCAAGATTTTCCACCATATGTGAGAATGAAGGTAGCCAGCTGTTCCCTCCTCAGTTAATATTTACATCCCAAATCTTTAAAAAGACACTTTACAGTCTAATCGCTGAAGTTAGTAAAACTATAACCCATTTCTTTTCATTTCCCGTTTCCACTATGCTTTTTTTTTTTTATATATAAACAGTGAAATCATAATGGTGCAGAAATAAAAAAAAAGAAAACAACTAGAAATTTTAATCACCCTCAAGTTAAAATAGATCCGATCTACGAGGCAAACAGAAAATTTAAGAAAATAATTTGTCTGTAAGTAGCAATCCTAACTAACTGCATCATCTCCTCTTCTCTGAGGAGCTCGCCAACTTACCCACAGACTATAAAGGCAAGACTGGCACGCAGGTTATAAGTGAGTATCTAAGAGTGGCGACTAGAAGCTTGAGTCTTTGCAGTGGTTATGCTTGAAGAGCTCCTCTCCTGTGTGTGAATGTCGGTGACTATTTCTTTTTTTTTGGTTGTGTTACGTGGGCATGGCGGTTTCCAGGCTGCGGCGCCCCTGCCTCAGCTTGCGCTTGTTGCTGTAAAGGGCCATCTCCTCCAATGCAGAGGTAGCGGGCAGCGGGGCGGGAACCTCCACTTCAGTGCCTGCAATGAAAGCAAAAGAAGACATTAAGCTTTTCCCTCGGCATAGATAGAATGTCGTCTTTACTGGCGCTGTGCAGTGAAAGATGGAGGAAGCTTTGGGTGAGTAGAAAGATCAAGCAGGACTTGAAGGATCTGAAGCAGTCTGGGAAGTTCTGGACTGCAGCAGCTTGTGAAGGTTCCTCCAGAAATATAAGGTTTTTTATTTTTCATGTTTGGAGGAAAATTTGATTAATCAGTATCACACTTCATGTTTCCTCTTGTTTTTAAATATCAACAAACCAAGGGGACCAATGTAAGAAAAAAAACAAAAAAGGATGCTCCTCCTGAACCACTTATATTAACAAAGATCAGTTTTTCTGCACTGGCATGTTGTGCACTTTGCACATCAGTGTTACATTCATCCAGTGGAAGCTTAAACCTGAACAAGAGAGCAAAGTCATAGAAAAATGTATTTATTGGTCATATAGCATAACTCCATTGCCAATTATCGTACTGGTTTAGTGTGTTTGGCTGACTGGTTTTTAAAAAGTGAACTCTGCCGTAGGGCATTTCCTACCAATCTAGTGAATAAGGAGGCATTACAGAGTTTTCTAATGACTCTGCCACCTGCTGCCAAAAAACAGAACTGCAGCAGTCTATAATTCATTGAATGTGAGACATTTGACATATATTGTTACATTATAAGGAAAATCTCTGTGTAAAATGTATTAAAATACCTATTGCTAGATGAGTGCAAAATGTCCTAAAGATAATTTTATGAGTGTGTTTTCCTGCGTTAAACACATTTCCTCTATGAGGGAGAGAGTTAGAGCTCCAAGTGATTTCTATTTGAGCGCTAAAGGAAATCCATGCAGCTATCAAAGTACCAAGAGAATCAACAACAGGGGACAAAACAATTCTGGGTTATAAATAGATTCAAGCGAGCGGTTCTGTAAGGAGCACCTAGAACCTTTAAGAAAAGTGGAGCACTTAAGTGTTTAGAGGGGTTCTATTTATTTTACTCTCCACATCACCAACAACTGTCAATGCCTGGAAACAGAGAATGAAACCTTAGTAACAACTCGGTGAACGCCTGAGAGAAAAGAAACAGATGCATCAGTTTCCAGCTTTAGTGGAAAACAACATCCAATCTGAACCTATGAGACAAGCAGTAATAAATGACTTCCAACACAACACTCTTCAGTGCAGAAGAAAAAATAAACCGCAACACCATTTTAGTAGCTCTGGTCTTGGAAAATAAAGTGAGAAACTTATAAAGATTATTAAGGCCATAACCATAAGAGTTAATGAGAACCGGCTGAAGATAGCCCGCCAACATCTGTTCTGTTCTTAATGGCCGATAAACAGCCAAATAAACCTCTTAACTGTACTGATAAAAGAAGCGGATCCAGGATTAATGACATTTGGTCTTCCCTTAAAGAAAAGCTTTGAGTGTTTATTTCCTTAGTGCAAACTTGAGATGGTTCTGACCCAACATACATCTTGCAGATCAGGACAGAAGCAGCAAAGCAACCCTGCATATTAAAACCCCAGAATCCAAGCTTGCACAACTTGCAGGTTAGAGAGAATCTTTGCAGACCAACACCTATCAACTCCCCTCAGACATTCAGCCAACAAACACATGCACATAGGATCCTACCAATAGCTGCTTAGTCCGGGTAGGTACCTGAATTAAAGGGAACAGAACAGGATGAGGTAAAACACACGGTTTATTAAAGATGGTAAGGGGTTGTACCAAACTCTGGTAGAAAAGAAGGAAACAATAAGTACATACCGGCAATGCTGGAGGCGTCGATGTATTGCACTTCCTCTGCTGCATCAGGTGTCTGGGGAAAAACAGGCTGGAATAAGTGACTGAGAAGTGGAAATAAAATGCTTTGATAAGCCATTTCCCACAGGAATCCTTCACCATTGCTGTAGAGGAGCTGGCAGGGAGAAAACCTGTCACCTACTGAGCCTCCAAGTCTGTCAAAACCACAGAAAACGTCTACTCTTGTCAATCTTTAGATTATAAATTAAACAGAGCTCTTTGATCAGAAACGTTCAATGAACCTGCAGTTTTCACACAATAGTTTTAAGCTTAAATGACACACAGATGGTGGGCGTCGTCTAATAACGAAGTGATTTGTGTAGCAGTGATTTTATTTAGGGGTATCAGAGTAAAGGTTTCAATGTGACAAAATGAGGAAAAATTTAAAGCGATGTGAATACTTTTATTTATTATTTTAAGCCAAGGTCTTACTTCATATAATAGTCATACCACTACCTCACCGTTAATCCTTACCTACTACACTTTAATGTAAAAGTCAATCCACCTGTATATAAGCCATCCTGATTGTACATGTCACTTCAAATCTCTGTGTTACTCCCTTGTATTTTTTATTTTTTTTATACCTTATTTTTATTCTTTTTATTTATTTTAATTTAATTTTAATTTATTTTTATTCTTAATGCACCTTTTCCTCCTTGTTTGCACCTTCTTTAATTACTATGCCAATATGTGACCTGTGAATTTCTCCGCTGTGAGATCAATAAAGCTCATCTAATCTAATCTCGATTATATTTTCTTGGATGCTCATACAGTTATTTTGATTTTCTTCCCCAACATTAAAGTCAATAAACCAGCTTTGCATACTTGGCTTTAAATTAAGGATTAGCATCTATGCTGAGCAAGAAGTCTTTGGTCGATTTGATGGCTTTGGTTAAATAACTTGGCGCATTACTGCCACCTTGTGGTAGCATTGCATTATAACCAGTTGATTCATACTATTAGAATATATACATCAATACATTTGCAGAATAAGAAATAACTAGTTATTCTTTATAAACATAATACAGTGTTTCAATGCACTACCACCAAAAGCTGAAAACAGAGGTTGCTGTAAAAACACTAGACACCACACAACCTGACAGACACACTAACCCAAAACACAGAAGACATGTAGACCAGCACAACTCCAGGTTTCCCCTGCATCCTCTCCCTCCACATGGAAGACAACCAGATTATGAAAACCGTGTTTTAAAAGCCATCAGATGAGAAGGAGTTCTTTTGTCTGATAATGTCATGACCCATGCATGGACAAAATAGATGGAAGTGAATGTGAGCGAGTGAGATGCTGAATAACCAGTTCAGGTTAGTGGAATCAAAATGTCTTCTGCAGGTGAGTGTCATGGTTTTATAGAGGTTAGTTAGTGAAGCGCTGCATAAAAGAGTGTGAATAGTTACTAAGGATATTTTTTTTTTATGAGAGGAAAAGAGCAGAAGGGAGGCTGTCATTATTTCAGTAGTTTTTTTTTCCTTCAAAGTAGGAGTTAGTGCACCAAAGGTCTTCCTGCCAGCTCTGATCAACCACTGAGCACGACCCAGACGGCAGCCACACCGATTCCTCCATCTATGGTAACTAGAGGGGAGAGGCAGCAGGGAAAGCCAGGGGAGGGAGGAAGCTTGGGCGGGATGGGGGGCCCCCGGGAGCGGCCCCTGGGAGCTCAGCATGCAGCCAATACCTGAATGTCGTATACGGGTTTGGAAGAAGGAATGGCGGCAAACTGTCGGTAGTCAAACTTCTTTGATGACAGGGACTAGAAGGATAGCAAACAGGGATGAGCAAAAAGCAGAGGGAGAGGTGGGAGGATGAAAACATGAGACGAGGGAAAAAAAATAGAAGGTGGGGGGCACAGAGGCTAATGGGTGAACCAGCTGGGGCACATGATGGAGAGAAAGGTGTGTCAGTTTTTACTGTCATGAAGCAAGATGGTGGATTTATGGCAATGTTTATAGAAAATGTCGTCTGACAGCTGATCAACAAAGAATCCGATGGATTTTCCATCTTTAAACAACTCCTTAAATTGGACTTGATATTGAAGTCAATTTCAGATTTTTGATAATATGAGGAATAAACACATAAATAAAGCAAAAACCCAGAAGGAGTGTAAGGCTGTAAAAAACAAGAGTGGAAGCTTACCAGCCTGCCGGGTGAGGTCAAAGCTCGAGGACTGAGCTCTGGAAAGGAAAAATACAAAATGTTTCAGGTGAAACTTCAATATTTCCTCTACAGCTGAGTTTGTCACATCATTTTAAACTACAGCTCATTTTATTAGGATTTAAAGTGATAGACTGGCACAAAGCAGTCAATCACTGGGAATCTACAGTGTGCTGTGCATTTCTTCCTCCCCTTTAGCTAAGACACCCTTAGATCAGGGCTCCTAGATCAGGATGTTGATCCTGAATCCAACGCCAGAACTGCAACAGCTAAACTAGTACCTATTTACCTGTAAGAGAGGATAGATGGAAATTACACTAGGTGGCTTAGAGGTTAGCTGTGCGAGGTTGTTTATCATCTAATGTCATTTCCAGAGCTTCAGCACAAATTCATTTTTATTATTTACAATTTAATACAAATGAATGCCACAGCTTTCAGATTAAAAAAGCATTATTATGTAGAAGAAAACAAAAAACAAAACAAAAGAATAAATCATCACCTTTCAACATGACACTGACAATTGCATATAATCCCAATAATTAAAATGATGTTTGTGGATTAAATGCAACAAAATGTGAAAAATAGATGAATCTTTTGGAAGATCTTGTGTTTTATTATGTTGCAGGAAAATTCCAGATAAATCCCTCTCTGCTCCAGCTGTGTGTCGTCTTACCTTCCATTGGAGTGGGAGATGGCGTTGGAGCAGGAGATGGGGACTCCGCCAGCTGGTCTAGTGTCCCTCGCTTCTTCCCATCCCGAGACTTGGCAATGACCATCTGAGCTTTCAGTGCATCTTGTTCCAGAGACTTCATTCTACACAGGAAACACGCAGGTTGAAGGAAATCCTCTGATATCATGTTAGAGGTGTGAAATAATGGCAGAGGCAGTGGTAGGCCATTCACTACTGATATGGGTGCTCCTTGTCCTGGTTTGCTGAGATGATCTTATTTCATGAGACAACAAATAGAGAAGGAAGGCACTCCAGGAAAAGGACAACCTACAGCTAGTAGGTTCACCCTTAACGCTCATCAGCTTGCAAACTTACTGTGGGCTATGTGTTAATACACATACCGCTATAACGGCAAGGCATAAAGGAAAATAAGGAGCTCTACAGGGGAGGGGAAAGGACGAGACAAGAGGACAGAGAGAATGAGGCCAAACTGGACTAGAGACAGGAAACAGAAGACGTGCAGAAGCAAAAGCAGAAGAACAAAACTAGAAAGGCAACAGAAGCACCGTTAGTAATGCTGTACGTGCTTGCTTGGACCTTTCTGAATCTGGCATCTAGCGAAATACCCCAAAACCAAAGCAACCCAGCACACCCCCATGATGCCGTGTGTCCGGCCCTAATGGCTGGGGCCGAGGAGCAGACCTGAGCTGGGAGGCTGCAGAGGAGGAGGTAGAGGAGGAAGCATGGGGCTGGGGGGCTGTGCCCTGAGAGGCCCTCACTCGGGCCTGGTAGAGCCGCTTTGCCAGGTCCTGCTCATACTGTCTAACATCCTCCTCTAGGCCATAGGGCCTGAGCCCCACAACCAACAGAGATGGGAGGGAGGGACAGGGCGGCGGAGGGCAAGGGAGGGGAATGAAAGGAATGCCATGATGAAGGAGAGAAATGATGAGGAGACAGAGAGGGACACAGACAGAAAGAGAGAAGAAAATCCAAGAATGGAAGATAAAACACGGACAAAAAATTAGGAAAACCAGGAATAATAAACAAGCCTTAAGACGTGAAATTAGGGAGAAGGAAACAGACCAAACAGTCAGCAGCGTTTTTAGACCTTTGGTCTACAGAACACCCCGATTCTACCAAACTCAGAGATGTTAATGAATCTCACTTAGGCTCTGACAAATTTATAGTTTCTAATCTGTATAACCTAAAATAGAAAAAATGTTTTTTTTTACTTAAACACTAGAAATTATTTTAAATAAAGTGGAGTCATGACTCAAGTTTCATCTCAGTATGTTGCAACATTTTTCACACTTTTTTTTTTTTTTTTACTATTTATAATAGAGAAATTGCAAAGCAGAGCATCATTACAACATGGAAAGGATTTAAAAAATGGTTATGTACCTGTTTCCAAACAGGAAAATGTGAAAACAACTTTATATTCAGCCTGGAGGAATACGTTTTACAGCTACCTCTGACTAGAATAAAAGCTGCAATATTTTGTACCTTTAAGACCCAAAGTTCTACTTTGTATGAACAAAACAACATATGGCAGAATGTTCTGAGTCATAGTCCTGACTCTCCTTTCCAGGATCAGATCTTTTGTATCCTACACATATTTGCTGCTGCAATGTTTGTAGACACCTTTCCCTGCACCATGATGCTGCCACCACCATGTTTCAACGGGTACATAATATTCAAAATGAAGTACCAACGTTTAGCTGTCTCTTCTACGAACTGAATTCTTATTACCTTCTTTTATGCTTTAAAAGTCCCCAGAGCATTTTACTTTTCCTCTCAGCTGATCCTTGATCTTTATAAAGCCGTTTGTTCAATAATGGTCCCTAAAAAAACTCCAGAGAACAGCAAGATTTGTTCCCAGATTAAATTATTATAGAATTAAGCAATCATGTGATTTTTAGGTCATTCAGTGGAATAGATTTTATTTAAGAAGTGGCAGGAAAAGTTTTCAGGTCTTCATTTATCAAAGATTTTAAATCCTTCCACCTTTTTTTCTTTCACTAAACAATCATTTACTTTGTGTTTTCAAACTATCAAAAAAGAGATTGTAATGTAAATTTGCAAGGTACTGCTTTCCATTATACTTTTGTAATGTTTATGTTGTAAGGGATAAGACAGTTTTAGTTTTTTAAGAAGCGATGTTCTTTCCACTTTTTATGTTGTGTTTATTCTACATAAAATGTCACAAACTATAGACCTAAATGTTCTGCTTTTAGGGCTAATTATGTTACATCACAGAACAGAATGTCACATCTGACGACATGTATGCCTTTTCCTCAAAGGCATGTGCATGAGTTACCGTGCTGCCCTCCACATGGCCCTTTTCTCAGCTTCTAGCGCTCGTTTCTCTGCAGGGGAAAGGTCCTTGTCTGGGGCCACAGCCAGCTCAGGGCTCTGCATCCTCAGCCTTTCTTGGTGTCTGCGTTCTGCTTTGGCCGTACGAATCGGTGCAGTTGACTCTCCAGGGTAAGCTGATATCAGACTGATGAGACCGATCATTAATAAGTAAGGTGACTCACTGAATAAAGACGTTCAAAATCTACTTTAGCTCTGAAAACTGCACTCACCCTGTCATAGAGTTTGGTCTCTGCTCCAACCTGAAGCTGTCCTCTAGTGAATTTCTTTGAGAGTCACCTTTACCGTCCACCGAGGAAGGCCTACAGACACATATCAGAAAAAAACTGTCAAAAAAAAAAAGTTAAATGGGAAAAGATTTAAAAGAAAGAAATGATTCTCACCCTGAGCTGCCACAGTAGCTCAGTTGTGTGGAGCAGTGCTGAGATGGGCTCGACACAGGCTCCACCTTGTACTCCACCCCGTCCAACAGCACCTTCCCTGTAGCCTTCATGTGCTCCACCTGCTTGGCCAGGTCTTCCTCTTCCTCATCTTCCTCATCCTCGTCCATTAGGTACTCCCGTGCCCGCTGCTCAAACCTCCTCTCTGAAGAGACACAGGCATGTAAACTTGAAAAAAAAACAAAACAAAAAAACAGCTGTGGTGTGTTTGTACCGGATTTGGGACTAAAAGACAAACCTTCCTCCTCCCTCATTTTCTTGAGGTCTTCCACTCCAACGAGGGAAATTCTGGGTTTAGGCTTCTCTGGTGTCTGCTGTTTCACATCGATCTCAAAGTATTTCTGCCTGTCCCTGAAGGAGCGCTGCTCCGGGCTATTCTTCCCTCCAAGAGGAACCTAAGGGGTGAGAGAGAGAAAAAAAAAAAAAAAAAAAATCAAGAACAAGAAGATAAACAGCTTGGATTTACACTGCAACATTCTCGACCCACAAGCTAAAAAAAGTAGCGTCATTGTCAGAGAGATGCCAGAGGATGGAAGGTCAAGAGGAGAGAAATGAATTATTAAACCCAGCACTGCTGAGGGAATTTCAGAGCAGCTATAAGGGGAGCCCATGGCTGAATAGATTTTTATCTGGAGTCCTGGGACAGAGAAACCACCACCGGCCAAGCTAAGCACACCACAGCCCAGACCTCAGACAGGCCCGCTCCAGCCATAGAGGCGCTGGATACCTTCATTTCCATGGAGGATCTGGAGAAGCAGGGCACCGCGGCCAGACTCATATACTCCCGCCGATCAGAAGAGAGGGAGGGCTGGGGGGAGACCTTTCTGGTCAGACCCTCTCCGCCTCCTTCCTGACCATCGATTCTATCATCAAACACCTCGTCGTTCAAAACAGGCTGAAAATAAAATCACGTCTGGAAGGTCAGAGCAACTTTACTCCAAAACTAAAATACCATTTAGAACTGTCCCCATTTAAAAACATCAGATAAGTGTGGTTTGATCTTGAGTCAGTATTACTTTTTAGTCCGGGTGAAGCATTAATTTGTACCTTTAAAATCAGATTTCCAAGGTTAAAGATGAACTAAAAAAGATTCAGTTACACCTTAAACCTGAACATTATGTCCATTTATTTACTCCTCCTTTCATAAAAGCATCTGAAATGCTGTTTGCTTTATGTTATTAATATAAACATTGGAGGTGTGAGTATCCTGCAGAAATAAACCCCATCCGTGGTTTCATGCTGCTGAGCATAGCTCCACCTTCTATTCCCAAGCTTCATGGGCTTGTGTCACTATTAATGGTAAGAATTATTGTGCACATTAATGATGCGTCACAGGGAATAGTTTCACATGCTTTAATAAAACACAAGAATCAGTTATATTTGTATCAAATGTGCGTCACTGATGTTTTAGTTACTGGATGCAGGGTTTTCTGAAACCCCAACAATATCCAAAATAAAAATATAAGCTATTGTATATATTTAGATTTATAACTGAACAAGGATTGTGTTTCTTGCTTCATGTCTTGTCTGTGGGTTATCTTTACTGACCTCTGGTGAAGGTTGCTTCATGTGAAAGTTGTTCCTCCCGCTGTACAGATCCTGTTGGGCGAGAGGAGAATGATTGTTCACCAAAAGGAGTCAGGAGAAAGGCTACAACACCAAACGGGCAGTCAGGAAAGTATAAAACAAGATTGCACAGCGTTGCGTGGGCCACACATGGACAGATGGAGATGCAGAATCAGCACCGCTTTGACAGATGGAGTGGTGGAGCACAAAAACCACCGATGGAGACATTCCACATGTCACAGCATGTCACAGATCCCCCCCAAGACAGCATGCAGGCTTCTTTAAGGACCGCCTGCTTTAGGAAGTTGAAGGGAAGGGGCGGGGCCAATCCAATCAGTCAGCACAGCATGCTTATGTGGTGACCTGGCCCAGTCCAGTCAGCGTGTCATACCTGCGGCGGCTCCAGCACTGCCAGCGAGCGAGGCACGGCAGCGAACGCCTTGTATGCCTGCTTGACATTCATTGGGAATTCGTCGGGCGAAGAAGGGGAGGGGGCGCGAGGCTGCAGGAGGGGAAGGGGAGTCATGAGGGGTAGGTCCATATGGTAGAAGAGGTGGGGGGGACAGACAGACATGGAAAGGAGGGTGGAGAGAATAAAAAAACAAAATCTAGCAGTTCAAGGTGACTGTGGAGAGGAACGGGTGAGCAGCATGGCGGCTGGTTTCATGTGAAGGAGGAGGAATGATGCATAGAAAGACAGACAGTAGGGCTTTGGCAGGCCAGGCAGATCCTTCTGTCTGGACACCTTAGTGAAGCAAGCAGGCAGGTTTGAGATTAAATCACTGCTTCTCTCATTACTAACCACTGCTGCCTGAAGAATAATCAGATTATTACACAAAGCAGAAACCTTTTGCAGCTAAGCAATTCTGTACACTATAGCCTGATGGGGGCAAATAGATAACCCCCCCTGAACATTTAAAAAAACTGTCTCCGTCTTTGGTAACAATCTATCATGTTTTATAGACGTTGGTAACCAGTGATGGACACACTGCCATTGTGTACCCTGGCCAGGCAGCACAGGATGGTAAAGACCAGCCCTACGTGGTGGTGGTGAGGGGTCTTACAGAGGTCTGGGAGTTGAATGGGGAGGGGCCATGCTGGAAAGGGTTGGGACTGCGGCGCTCCGGCGTGCCGGGGGAGGTGGTGGACCGGACACGTCCGACTGGTTGGATGGCACCGGGCCGCGTCTGGAGAAAAGCAAAAAAGATGACAGTTAAGTCCGGGGTGAAAAGTTAAAGTAATGCTAATAGTTGGAATGCCTTCATGAGGTTTGGAGTTTCAATGACAAGTTTGACTAGAACTAGGAGGTTTAATAAAAAAAGACTTATTTTAAAAAGCTCTGAAACCTTTCAATGTCATATTGTGTTCCACTCAAATGAAAAAATGAATCAATATTTTAAAGGTAAACGTGGGGAGAGTGCTGGTCTAGTGATTGGATTAGTGCACTTGTGAGAACTGCGGCGGATGGTCACGAGAACTTCTTCGGCGGCGCTGGTGGGAGTGTTTATTTTCCAAAACATGTCTGAGCCATCGTACAAGTGGTTGTACTTCCAAACCGCTCCGAATCGAGAAGGACGACCACACAGAAAGGCATACCAAGGACCAATCCCAGCTGCTTTTTGTCTGCGCACTTCCACTTGAGGTCTGCGCGGGTTTGCGACCGTCCGGCACGTAGTCAGGATTTTTTTGAGGAGAGCAACGACTGCTGCAGGGCCTCTGTGAGGGGGGCGTGGCCGCGCACAGAGGCAGATTCGATGGTTGCAGAGGCTATGCGTCAAAAGTATAAATTGGCCTTAGATAGATAGATCCTCATCTTTAACCTTAAACGTATCCATGTACTGCTCTGAAATACTATAGTACTCTTCTGATTGATTCCTCGGGTAAAATAGATTCTAATTCTTTCTCAAATCTCTTTAAAATTACTTTAACTAATCAACACAAATAAAGAAAATACAAAATATAATCAGATAAATCCTGAAATCTGATAAAAAAGGCGGTTTTACAAACTTATCTGCTTATTAATGTGAGTTTTTGGACCCTCACCATTTTCTTTTCCCTTGTTAAAATGAATCAAGGTTTCATTTTGTTATGGTCTATAATGCACCTTGGAAATGTTCAGCTGTTGTCTTTATGGGTCTAAGCACCTACACAGGAGATTCTTGAGCTATTCAAACCAGGGTCGTTTTCCATAAATGTTTTTTCTAATTGAAATTTAGTTTCAAAGGTAATCCACTGTTCTTTCCTACTGACACTCACTGATGATGAGGTGCTGTCCTTAGCAGTGGGAGTGGCAGTGTAATGAATGTTTGCCTGTGGAGAAGACAAAAAATAATAAAAAATAATAACAAAATGAAAATTTGACAGAGCTCTACGTTCTGCAGCGTCTATTTTAAATAAAAGCAGCATTAAAAGGAAGAAATATAAACTAGTGTAGCCTCTTTAGGACAATGCAGGGCCACTTAAAGACTCTTCCCAAGCAATTAAACTCAACCAGATTTTACCATTTTCTACCCCAAAAGGTGGTAAAATTATCCTCTTAATAATTATTGTGCAAAATGTTATCAAGAGAAAATATAAAGCCATAGCTGGTCAGCAGACAAACCGTCTTTGAGTGATGCATATATAGTGTGAACAGCACAAAGCATCAGTAATGAGTTTGCCACAGAGGAGCATTCGCATGCTTGTCAGCTGAGAAGGGCTGAGGAAACTCTAGAAATTATTTTTAATTGATGCAGTCTGTACAGGGGACCACAAAGCCCACTTACAAAGCGGGTCTCCCTGCCTGCACACAGGGAGCTGTTGGAGGAGTGGTGGCTGGGCTAAGGGTGGGGAAAAGGGTCAAGAGGGACAGCTGTAAAATAGCTCTGTTGGAGAGCTACAAGTGACTCATGAATAATGAGAAGGTAAATTTGAAGGATGACAGGATGGTGGGTGGTGAAATCTGGTGGAAGACGTGTTGGAGCAGCTCACCGGCTGGATGGTGGGAGAATATGGTGCTTCCCTGACAGGACTGTCTGTTCTGGTGTAATCAGAAGAAGGTGTCTGGAGAAAAACAAGAGAAATTAATTAATGAGCTGCTCACATTTTCAGTCAGGAAACCAGAAATTCTGCAGTAATAATACAACCACAGCTCCATCTGGACGTAGATGGACCTTTATTAGTAATCAAAATGTTGATTTATTTCAGAAATTCAACACATCGTAGATATGCTATACTTAATTCAATTCTATTAGAAAATTAATGGGATGAAGGCAACTAGCAGCAGCTTCATAAAAACCCTGGTTTCTTTGCTAATATCCTTATCTATGTCTCATATCTTCCTTTTGACAATACTCCGTACAGATCCTCTTTAGGCTCTCCTTGAAGCTCAATTGTCATGGTAGATGGTTGTTTTGACTGTGGACTTTAGAAAACACAGTAGACCAACACCAATAGTTGACATGGCAACCCAAACCATCAGCGACTGGAAACTCGAATGAGTTTTGCTCGACGCCTTTTTGTACCAAACTTTTTCCTTTCATTCCTTCCATTTCATGATTGGTGTTCATGTTTGGGATAAAAAACGACCTGCCTCTTTAGCTATGACCTGTTGAGTCTTACCTGCCACTTACAGGTCGTTGGTAGTCTTCTGGTTGATTGTATTGACAAAAATATTTCTGTACTTAAAAATCTTTGAATTAATCTTAAGCAAAAAGAGGATTTGGGGATTTTGAAAGGCTGTTCCTTTTTTTTCAGCTGAAATTCTGAAATAAATCAACTTTTCTATTAAATTTATTAAGCTGAAACCTGTAAAGGGTTAGTCGTATTGTGAATATTTAGTTCAAGCACTCGCTGGTTAACATGCACTCCTCTGTGCTGTCCACATTCCTTCCTGCATTATGACCTTCCTTACAGCTGGTGTGCGGTTAAAGATCCTGAATTTCTAAAGAAATGCGACAAGCTGTGCTCAAAGCAAAAACGTGCCATAACCTCTTCTTATCCAGAGAACCATACACACACAGGCATGGCCAAACATATCCCAGGGGAAAATCATTTCTTTTCTAAATTCTGGAGCAACTTAAGCTGCTTTGCAAACAGCTACACAGAAATCTTTTATATCCAAAAACTTGGAAGTGGGAAGTTTTTTTTATCTTTTTAGAAAAATGCATAATTATACAGAAGGAGCACAGTGAAAGAAACAATGCACAGCAACACAGCATGCTGCCTCCAAACTACTCTCAGCATCTTGCCTTGCTGAATAACCAGGGCTGCAGCTTTCCTTGCTGGCCGTAGCCCACAGGGGGCCCGGACAGGATCTGCTCTCCAGGTGGAAGACCTTTCCCTTTACGGTTCGCTACCAGGAAGGGGTTTTCCCTAAAGCACATAGGTTGCGAGTCCACCAGGCATTCTTCTTCCTCCTCAGGAGAAACGGCCGGCATGGAGTCAACAGCTGTGGCTGAGCCTGGACTGTCATTGATGGTGGGCGTCCCGTTATGGGAGAACTGGAATTCCTTGAGATAGCTGTGGTCTGTGAGGGGTTCGGTGGGTTTGACCAAACTGAAGCCTGCTGGTTCTAAAAGGGCTCCGTGATTGGCCGGCAAGGAGGCCTCCATGGGAGCAGTCAGAATAACAGAAGCAGAGAACTGAACAGGAGCAAAGGAGAAGGAAGAGAGGACTCACAGGAGAATATAGACCCACCAACATTCAAAACTCAAATGGAATAAACAAAAGACTTACACACACCTAAACTTTATGCTCTCATAATAAGCGATAAAGCTTCTTTCACTTGTAAAATGGATAAAAATGTACTTCTATAAATCTCATGTTATAAACAATGATATGTTGAGTATATCCTAAGGATTCAAAGTAAATTCAGGTTTGTAAGAAACGAAATGTTTAAACAGTGATTCCTGGCCATAAAAAACTCAAACTTGAAATAAACCAAATTGACTTTATTGTTTTGGTGTGGAGCAGCAAAGCAGAGAGGAGCAAACTGGTGCAGGACTGGTTATAATCAGTGTGCAGCTCTCACCAGTCCTTTAAAATAGGAAATTTAAACTAACAGTGCCAAACCCACAAACTAAAGTAAGATGAGGAGAAACGCCTGTGGACCTATGAATAGAAAGCTGACCCAGAAGCCTCAGGCTGCTATAAAGAGTGACTTGCATCACTAAAGCTCTTCAAGCCCTTCGGATGAGTTTCCAAACCTATTTCTTTTAAGTCCTAACTGGTGGTGTTTGCTAACATCCACATTTCAGCACAGTTTCTGCTTAAAATACTCTTAAACTGTTTAACAGGGAGGCTGATTATTTTGCCTCATGCTAACCGATCCCTGTATTGTGCTGCTGATTTAAAGATGAATGATGCATTTTCTAGCTGATGCTAATATAAGGAGAAAAAAAAAAGAGGCAAATATCAACATCTGCCAGCTGATTGATTCTTTTTCTACAGAAAAGACTCTGCTGACTTTACTCTGCAGCCTTACATGATATGTTACTACACTATGAAATGATCAGCAACAATGACGATAGTCTGATTAAAGGCGAAATGGTGACACAGCTCTCCTGGTAATAACCCTAAGAGGCATACGTGTGAGCTTTCCAGGGCTGGAATGCGAGTCAGTGACCTTTTGGCAGCGACGCAGACGTCTGTGAGCGACAGCTGGCTTTTAGAGGAGAGGAGTCAGGCCACCGGCTCGCCAACGTGCTGTGGCACCGAGAGCTGCACAGCTGGGACCCAAAAGCAGCATGACGATCAGACGCAGGCGGACGGATCACTGAGCTTTTAGTTTTAGGGAAATCACATCAAGGGAAATTTGATCACAGGTCCTTGTTTTATTTAGCCCTTAAGGAAAAACTGAATAGTTTGGCAACAGCAGAGAGGTTCTTAATGAGGTTAATCTATCACACCGTTTAGCTCACCTCTAACCTGCTCATAGTGTACTCTAATAAAATAAAAAACTCTACCAGAAGGAGGATATAACCAGTTCTTTTGGGGTTTTTTTATGAAGGGAAACTGATGCAAACCAGGTAAAGAGGGTATTTAAAAAAAAAAAAAATCATATAATTAATTAAACTGCACCTGAAATTAGAGAAATTTCTTTCTGACTAGTCTTTAGCTGATCAAAAATAATTAAGAGGAATAAAGTAAACCATGGTAAGTGCCTATGTAGATAATAGAAGTAGGCGGAGTTGAAATGGCAAAGCTTGGGCGCTGAATTGGAGCACTAAGTGAAAATGGGTAAATGGACCTAAAGATCCTTGTTTCGTTTGGCTTTTAACTTTCCCAGCAATGCTACAAGGACAAAGGAGCGACACTACAAGGCTTTCAGTAAAATGAAATGATTCTACTGCCATATTTAGTTTGCAGCTCATATATAAACCAATAATTTGCACTTTAATTAAAACTCCACAATCTTCTCTACCAAGAGTAATACTCTGTTGTTAAGATTTAGGAGTTCCTGTACTCTGGCTTTCACAGGCAGTTACAGGTAAAATATCGAAACACTGAACCACATGGCTACAGATCCCACTGCAAGAGCAGCTTCTTATGATATGTACGTTAAGTTCTGCTGCACTCAAAACAGTGATTTACAAATAGGACACTAAACAGAAGCCAGCTACAGCTCAGAAAGGTTGATTTAATATTATTTAACATATTTAAGAGAAAAAAATTCAAGTCAAGTTGAAAAATAGAAGTTATATTCAAGTAACAAAAAAAAAAAACAGTTTGAAAGAGGCAAAGAGCGGAAAGAAGAAGAAGTGGGAACTTACAGCTGGATGGTAGAAGGGTAAAGCTGGATGTTCAGGACTTTCAGAGCTTGAACCTAAACGTTTCTCTCAGAGGACACCGTCCCCACCAAGCAGACACACTCAGTCCAACTCAGAGCCAGATGCACGTTTAAAATATCACCAAGAGGAGGCCCGCTGATAGTGGGCAGCTGTTCCCCTCCCCCAAGTTGCCCTTCCTCTCTCACACTTTATTCTTTCACCCCATCGGACCGGGCCTGCACTTCTTTAAACACAACCCTGTGCTCATCCTGAAGATGTTCACTCCTTTCTAATCAGCTTTATTGCTTTACTTTATTTAGTCACATCAACAAGATTCTTCATCTAGCTGCGATCTGCTGCTTATATTAGACACAGTAACATCATTAAGACAAGTTCTGACTTTGAGCCATCTAAGAATCAATCTGAGGGATTTGGGTTCTCGATCAGGTCCAACTGATGATCTCAGGGTCACCCAGAAACCTGACAGATTCCAGGAGGGTCTATTCTAAGCCTCTAACCAAGGCCACACGCAGCAAACCAAGAATTTACAACCCCAGGGGCACCGACCCAGTTTTAAAACATGTCAATAAGTTAAATCCATCATTCATTCATGTAAGTCCTGAGCTGAATTCTGTTAGTTTGTGCAACATCTGGAAAAAAAAGAGACTCACTTTGTTGACTTTTTGCAGGCTGGTGGTGGGGAGTGCAGCCAGGGTTTTGTAGTCAAGTTTTAAAGGTCCACCGCCAATGTTCTGGTGAAAATAAGAAAAAACAAAGGTAAGAACAATGTCCGACCAGTATACACACAGATTACCAAAACAGTAAATGGATTTCTTTAGTGTCTCCGTTCCGTCAGTAACTGGGAAACAAAACCATCAATTTGTTTATTGATGCATCAAATACATGAAGAAGGAAATCCTCTCTATATAAATCTATGTAAAAAGATCTTTGATTAGTATGTCTAAATTCAGCTAGTAGGGGTTCAGCAACAGACTGGGCTTAACTCCGCCATGCACACCTTATAAGCTAACCTGGTCTAAACCAGACTGATGCATGTAATTCCTCCTGAGTTTGTGAATTCACAGAACTCGTAACAAAATTATTGCATTAATAAAAATGTGCATAACTGCTAAGTGTGCTCAGAAAGTTTCCAGACAGGCTTATTTTTGCATCTATAGTTTATTCTTAGAACAATATCCTCATCTTAGCCTCAGCTAAAATAACTTCTATCAAACACAGCTTTTATGTTTCAGCCTCACTTTAACCTGCAGAAGCTGTTGTTTCAGTTTGCTCTAAATGCTGTAGGTGGCCTTAATCCATATGGATACATGTTCAGGGTGAAAAGAGAGACTTCTTGATGATGTTCTGAGTCTTTCTTTGAAATTAAAAATCACAAAAAAACGGTCTTTCTAGGACACTTATCTTACAACTCTTCTCCAGGTTAGCAGCCGTTTGATAACAAGCCAGCTTCTGTTCATTTTAAAAATTTAACAATGTTCCAAGGCCAATAAAAAAAAACGACCTTTTACATTTTCTGGCATATAATCTCACAGAAAGAGACATTTCTTTATTCTTATTTCCACCCCATTATGCCCCTTTTTTGGAATAAACAGTTTAAGGGTTGTGTCACTTTTATGCAGATATGTTATACCCTTATATCACCACAATCTCAGTTTACAGTCCAATCTGGTTAGAGTAAAGTTAAAAATTGGCCATTGATGATATGTTGGCCTCCTGTCAGGTTGGCGATGAACCCACCAATCGTGACAAATCATCTGTGTTGTTCCGTCACCTTAAGCAAAGCCTGCAGCTCATTTCCATCATTCACATATTTACATCAGTCCTAGCATTTAATAACCAGCTGATCTACTAAACCAGTTGGGTTTAATGTCTTTGGTCTATTAAAATCTGAAACATTATAGAGAACAGACCAGGTTATACAGACATTAAAGGTACATTTTTTATTCCTTTACCTGGAGGGATAATTTTAGGTCTTTTAAAAACAAGGACAGAGTACTAAAATCTTGTCCCTTTCTGAAAATGTCCTAAAATTCTATATGGAACCAGTTAAAAGTAACTAAATAAATGTAAGTAGAAGCAGCTTTAGTTTAGCTAATCTAGAATACTCTGAACTGAGCGCCGCAAGTTGCTTTAAATCAAGATAATAAACATATTATTTAGAGCGGCTTTTGACTGTGCTATCTAAACATAATAGTTACGTTTTCAGTCAAACTTTCCTTTAATTTATGTCATCATCTGTATTTTTTTTCCTTTATATAATAATTTAATTATTAATTTTTATTACTTGTGTTGCCTTTATGCCATCGCAATGTACTTTTTTTTTGTCATGTAGAGCACTTTGAATGATCTAGTACTGAAGTGTGCCGCATCAATAAACATCCCTCATCAAAAGAAAAAACAAAAAGAGCTGCACTAAGGGAAGCCCTGATGACTAATCAAATGATATCCAACATCCCACAGCTGGAGCTGTAACAAAGAGAGCAGTAAACACGGTTCATCATTGCTCTTCTTTAAAAGGACTAGAAATTTGGAAATGTTCCACAACAGAAGTTAACCAACTTTTACAGGAAAAACAGGCCAAGCAAACAGAAATATGTGAGCACAGAAACTTCCATAACTTTTAATCCTCAATACTTTTCATTGTAATTATAGCTCAACATCTCATTGTCTTGACTGAACCTTATCCTATATTATTTTTTGTGTAAAACTGGTATATTTGTACAGTTTGTTTTCAAGGTTAATCTCTTGAAGCCTAACCTTAATATTTGACATTGACGTCTCCTCCCCTACTTCGATAAATAAGCACTCATCCATCCGTTGACTGTGGATGCTTTCATTTAGCCCAGCATAATGTCATCTTCTATTAAGGTGTTATTTCATTCCATTTAAATCTATTTATTCATTTAATTTAGGACAATAAGCATCAAATCAAACACGTTGGCATTGTTATACAGCTAAATTTGTATCCGATGTCCTAAGGCAGGTAAGAACAAAAAGCATCCAACAAAAAGGGCAGATTGAATTTAAAGTTGTACTTCAAAGTTTATATATCCTCCCATTAAAGAATATGATAAATTGAAACTAATAATTCAAATAACACATCACTGAAAAAGTAATAAAAAATTACAAAAATGCAAGTAAAACAAAATATTGATTCTGAATTTTTTATCTTGAAGAATTATGACAAACTGTCCCAGATAAATTAAAGTACCTTGCCTTTGAACAGTGAAACCACATACCTGTCAGCAGATGCAGAGGTCTTACTGAACATTTGCTGAATATTACAGTAAACACCTGATTTCAGTGATTGCATCAAAGTGTTGCTAATCAAAGTTTGTGTCCAGGAGCTCCATCCGGTTTATTTACTTGTTCTATTTGTTCTAATCTATACCATGATATCCATTGTGTTCCTTTTTATCACTACTTTTGTCAATTTCAACTCACTGGCAGCTGATTTGTTTCTAATGGAAGGGTATTTAAAGTGTCAAAAACAACTGTAAGTAACAAATTTCTTCTCTTATGCTACAAACCTGATGTCCTCTTTTCATTTCTTCTGTTTTGGATACATTTTAGATTTCTAGGCTCAGCTACACTGTCTTGATGGCTCCATGGCTTTGTCATTCTACCAGAATAGTTCCCCTTTCCAAACTTTCAAATTAAAAGATCTTTTGAAATTGTTGATCAGCTAATTACTGGTTCTTCTTTAGTAACTTTCTGATAGAGAAATATTTCCACAGCCACTTTTGTTCATGTTTGCAGCTCAGTCTGCAGGTTTGTTCTGATGACATGCCTCGGAGCAGGGTCTCACCTCCGTCTCCTCTTCTAGCAGGCGAGTTGCCTCCTCACGCTCCAAACGCATACGCTCCTTCACCATGAGAGGAAGAGGAGAAGCAAAGAGGAAGACACCCAAGCGCACACAGTGATGCGATGAAGACAGAGATCATTTACAGACGAGGAAAGTATTTTTGCAGATGAAGGGGTAGGGATAAAGCGGCAAAAGGAGGTGGAGAGATGATTATGTGTCACACCAAACACACCAGAAGGAGAGAGGAGAGAGAAAGACAGGAGGGTAAGAAAGAGCAGAAATCACACCGGTTAGAAAGTACACTATTCATGTTTCTATGGGAGCAGAAAAAGCATGCAAAGTGAAACATTGCAGGGACAACTCTCAAACACCCCCCACACAGGGTGCAGACAGGAAGCTTCATCCATTCAGTCCCTTTCTCAGCTATGAAACCATATTTTCCTACTTCCTCGTTTGGCTAAACTGATTCACTCAATGTTAACCATTGAAGCATTTCCAGTTACTCACCACTTTCTCCATCTCTTCTCGCTCCCACTGCGACGTCTCTCTGACCATCTCAGACTCCTGTGAATAAAAAGTGCAACTTCAAAAAGAGGTTGTTTTTCTTTCAGCAAACCTCAGCAGAGAGAGGACTACATGTAGTAGGGACAGTAAGCCATGGCCTTTAGCAGACACATTCCCTCAGAATGGTCGCTCTTCCAGCAGCCTAAATTGGCCAAAAAAACAACCGTGCTGATGCTATGTGGCAGCATGGGTGTGTTCCACATGGCGTGCTCTAGCTAAGCTGGTGAAATTCCACCTCCAAACTGATGCTGCAGCACAATTGTTGCACAAAAACATTTGATTCACCCAGTTAGTGATACTGAGCGACACAGCAGTTCTTCATAGGTGACATTTTTCTGTTCAGCTCACTCCGTTTGGGCTCTATGAGGTTTGAAATTGATGCTGTTGTTTACCTGGTACAAACCGTGAAACTGTAGAGCAGTTCACTGTAGGATTTGAATCATACCTTCTGTATGATTTCCAACTCCTCTGGGCTCAGATCCCGGTCTATAGAAGAGATGCTCTCCATACTGTTCTTGCGCACGATGCCTGTTGCAAACGGGTTGGCAATGATCCCTGGAGACGCCTGGGAAAAAAAAGGAATTCTTTGATTTAGAGTTTTGTTTCATTGCTCACTATTTTTTTTTTAAACCATTTCTGGTAAACACCTAGAAGAATTTTTTTTAAGCTTTACTGCCCCCTACAGGTAACCATCTTGTTAGAATATTACAAGGTTAATGGAGACAACACTTGGTGTGGAAGTTGTTACTGGAGAAAAAAAAAAAAAAAAAACTATTTTTAGTTGTAGTTAGTTGTTAAAAAATAAACACATAAGGAACAATAAGCTTTTAGAAAGGATGCATATCAACTGTGCCAACAGATTGGTGAGCTTCAACAGGGATTTACACATCAGAAAATAAGAAGCCGAATGCTGTAGAAAAGTTGCTCTGTTTTATTCTCATTCTCTCTCTCGCTTTCGTTAGACTTGTAGTTCTATTTTGAGGTAAGGTGAGTGCACCAGTAAATTGTATAAATGGTCACAGTTATAACACATTCCTTACTTTACTAGTACTAAGAGCGTGACGCATCATCAGAGGAGGAAAATGAAGGGGAAGATGGAGTAAATGGCAATAAGCTGAGAATGAGACGGCGGCTGAACATCAACAGACTTTCAAAATGGTAGTTGTTAAAACTGCTTGTTTTCAACCACAAGGATGAGGTCTAAATGACTCAATTCAGCTTTTAAACCCAACAGGGCCAATATAGCTCAGCTGACAGAGCATCTTGAGCTATTTATAGATAAAGGCTTGCCTGCTATCTAATGCCAATGATAATCATGCATTAACCAAGTTGTTGCGGACCTACAATACTTACTTTAGACCCAACGTGGCATAAATGAATGAAAATATAATAATGACAAATAATGTAGAGTAGGGCTATCCTGGACAAATCCATTCCATAACACTAAAGCAGGGTTCACTGTAGAGTATAGAGAGCTTCTATGCAGGGTGAGCAGATCCCGATCTGTGCAGATTTTTTTTTTCCTTCTGTCCCAGTTCCCGCCAAATTTAAACAATATCCCACATTTGACTGGGTCAGATCATGGTACTTTTATTAAAAAGAAAATAATAGATAAATTAGCCGACGAGGCTACAAAGCAAAGACTTACGCTATGACGAGCTTTAGTATGCTCCAACTAATGCAGATGTCGGATTTTATTATATAAAAAAAGGGAATTATGTTTAAAGAAAAGGAAAATGCAGCATTAACAGCTGTGGGATGGTTTAAATACGTAGGCTACTACGATTCTCAAAGAGCAATCTGTGAAGTTTGTTGAAGTTTTTGTTTTTTTCCACAAAGAGGAAAAAGTGATAGGCTGTGCTTTTCTTTTCTTTCCCTTATTGTTGTGTTTTGTTTTAAATTCAAAGAGGATCATTGTTTTACTTTATTCGTTTTCTGTCCCTATGAACTCCCTATAATTGGTATCTATTCTGTTTATTAAAATATTTAATTGATCGTCTGCCCCACCTACCATATCAGCCCTGTGATTCCAAACGTGGAAAACATGAATGATTTCTCCTGCGACAGAGGTTTTATTTAGTATTTCCATAAAGCGAATCTGTTTTACTTTGCAACCGCGTTTCCCCATCAGAAACGGAATTGTTTTCTCCTCCTTATCCGTCCTCTAGAGTCTAGACTACCGTTTAGGCCACTCAAAGAGCTCACTACGCTTTTGAGTGCAATGCAATGCTACACATCACTGTTTCCTTAGAAATAACAGCAGACATGATTTGATAAAACGAAAGCACTGTTTTTTTAGCTTCCGAACAATGTCCCAGTGATACGTCATTGGTTTTGTGGCTGCAGCCAAAGCATTTGGTATCTAAGGAGGTTCCTATGGCACACTCTTGGATTTGGCTGAATTATGTTATTGCCATTGACAATAACTGTCCAGTCCTCACCATGAAAAAATTAAAGCTCTATTTCTCTTATTAAGTGTTCAGCCCACCTTTGAGTAATGCATTCTAAATCTATAAATGTTGATAAAACATTTGATCTACTGCATGTAGTGTAAAGATCACTTCTTCTCTTTTAAGGTTAAGGTTAGTGAAGTATCTATTTTTATTTCTGAGGGCTCACCTCGACAGCAGTGACCTTACGCGGGTCGAATCCATCACACACCAGCATGACCAGGGAGTCCCCGACAGCACGAAGGACTCTCACTGCCTCTGTGTGGGTCATTCCCAGCAAGCTGTGGTTGTTCACCTCCAGGATACGCATGCCGACCTGCAGCCTTCCATCTCTGGCCGCTGCTCCAGTCGAACTCACCTGAAAAGAACAAAGTCACAGCATTATGTTTCCAAAACTGGCTGATTACTCAAAAACACCAGAATATGGTTTGACTTTTGATAAGTTACGGACAAAAAGGTTTTCTAACTTTTGAGATAAAGATGCCCTCATCTGTGGGGTCCAAGGGGTTTCCAGCATGACCTTTTGCTCCTCCACGGATGCTGATGCCAAGCTTCTCCCCTGACTGTTTCTGGATCAAAACCTCCTGCATCCCAGGTGGGGAAGGATCTCTCCGAACCAACATGCGGATCTCCTGTTTGTTAGCCAGGAGGGCCCGCACCGCTTCCTGGTGCGTGGCATGTCGCAGGTCGATGGAGTTAACCTCTAATATGCGGTCGCCGACTCGAAGGCCACTTTTACAAGCCAAACCGTGAGGAATCACCTGATGGATCAAGGAGCAGATGATAAGAGCACAACACAACTTACTAGAAGAACAAAATCCTTGAGTGAATAATGTGTCATTACCTTAGAGATGAAGACCCCGGGTTCATTGATGCCAAAGGGGTGACTGGCATGGTCACTGCCTCCAACGATGCTCAGTCCAAGAGGGCCGCCTGACTTCACTAAGGTCACCTCCTGTTTGAATCAGAAGGAACAGCAGGAATTTTAAGGTATAAATAAAGTTAAAATTTGAGCACATAAGCAAAAATAAAAGTAAGGTATATCATGAAAACAAGACATCTCAGCAGGCGATAAACACACTCCTTTCATCACAGCAAGCCATCATACCATGCACCATCTTCTCTGCAGCTGAACAGCATAGGGAGTGAGGTGGAGACCAAAACATCACCCATCAATCAGGCTTCTGCAGCACAGCTCATCAAAAACCTCTAAAAAAATGAAGACTTCTCACCTCAATTGGATACTCGTCGTCAATCTTTCCCACGTTCCCTTGAAGGCCTTCCTCATCTTGGTCAGGAGAGGCTGAGGGCTCCGGGGGTGGAGGGGAGTGGGCTCGTGCCCGGTTTTGACCTGGAGAGCCTCCCGGTGCGCTTGGGTCTCTCTCTACCAGCAGTGTGATGGTGGGGGAGGTGCCGGTAAGGAGCGTTACTGCCTGGTCATGCCTGGCTTCTGTCATGTCTACACCATTGATCTGGATCGACAGTGAAACCAACCATGGAGGAGGAGTGAGCCCACCACGATTTTCCCAGTAATCATTTAAGGCTAACAGAAGGAATATTCACAAACCGCTGCTGTCAGTAGATTCTGCATATTACAATTCATTAGAAGAAACTAGATCTTGAGGCCCATGGAGGAGCTGCAGCGTTCCACAGCTAAAAAAAAAAGACTAAACTCACAGGACAGCTGTTAGCTTTGGACTCAATTCCCTTTTCCATCTCATTTTGAAAAGTACAAGAAAAAAAATAAACCATGAGGTTCAGTTTGCAGTTTAGGTTGGCAAACAGGTAGAAGGAGTAGAGCCCGACCCATTAATCTGTGGGCCAATTTATCCCCCGCAAACACACGCTCAAAGCTGCTGTTAGCGCAAGCACAGAATTAAATATTGGAGCAGACGAAGAAGGAGAAAGTGAGCAGTTTACTCCATGGAAAGCTGTGATTTTGCCAAACTACACTTTAGTGTTGCATGACAACAGACGTCCTTTGGGAAAGGACACATTAAGGAGAACTGACGAGTTTCATATGGGCTAGTTTTGGCAAACATATTAGCATTTTAGCTCTCTAAATTTAGGTCTTTGCGAAATAAACAATTTGAAAAGGAAAAAAAAGATTCTTACATTGTGTCCCACAAAACTTCATACCGACATGCAGGTTGTACTGAGCTCATAAATTCTTTATTAAATGTTTTCATTAAATACATTTTTAAAAGGCTCTAACTTATGTACACCTCCCATTAGCCTGCGTGTTTTCACTTTATGCTGTATGCAGCTACTTGTTTTCTTTTTTGAAGGTCCATGTCTAGAACTAAAACGTAATTAGTAAAATACATTAAATTACTAAATGTATACATATATTTATTTCACAGTCAGGTGTGAAGCCACTTCATGAAGGATGCAACAGCTGTTGGATGCAGAATCTGCAGGGTTAAAGTTAGTCAGCTTAACAGGGCTCCAGCCCTGTTAAGCAAAAAAACACCACAGATTTGAGGCAAAATCTAAATCAGCAACTCGAACATTGATTCCATTTACAGTCTTATGGTAACTGCTCAAATTAAAGTTGCTTATGTTAGTAAGAAAATATGATTTTTTCTCGAATCATATTTTTGGTTATTATGAGAATTGTAGTAGAACTATGCTTGGACAGTGCCTATCCTGTGTATTTCCATGTTAATGATTTTTTCGTTTATATTATCGGCCAATATAGGATATTGTTTTTTTTTTTTTTTGAAGCCCCTAATATCAGGCGCAGCTCAGTGCTCAGCAAGGGAGGGGCAGAGGAGCAGAATCAGCTCCACAGAAGTTTCTTTTTGCGGATTGCAGCAGAAAATGACTTCTTAAATGGGTCACCTTTTGGCCGATGTTGATTTATGAGCCAGACGCTGAAATAGAGCCCGATCGATTCATCGGTCAGGATCTATTTTCAACATAACAACTTTTTGCCTTTGTTTACTTAAGATGAGTGGAAAACTTGAGTTCTCACCAAAGTAACAGTTCTTAAGTCAATAAAGGCAATTAAATTACTGTTTTATTCTTTTTGTTTATAAGACTGCCCTTGTTGACAGCTCAGTGTTAAAAACTGCACAGTGCTCCATCCTGACAAGCAGAGGTCAGCACTGACCCGACAGTAACGGCCCTTACCGCTAGCTGAAAAACTCAGCTGCTGTGGAAGCATTCATCTATCACAGCAGCAGAGCAACACCACACCCACCACCAAGCAGGCACGGAGACTCGCTCAGCGTTAGTGAGCATGCAGAGGGACGGAGGGTAAAAACAGAAGACAACAAAGGAGAGGGAAGGGGGAATAACTGCCGGAGAGAAAGTAAAACACATCCAAGGCTGCATGACTTGAAGGAGACACTTCAGAACAGAGCAGCAGCAGTGCATTCATCACCCATATAGACGACACATCAAGATAAGAAGACAAAGAAGCAAACTTCAAAATGTGATTGGAGGGGAAAAAAATACAAAGACATGCAGGAGGCCATAAGCTGTTGATTTAACACCTTGAATATTCATTGACTCCTCCAAAACTCTCAATTCTCTCAAATTAGGGATGCTAATGGCATTCTATATTAGTTCTACTTAAAAGCATTTTGACTAAGATCCCAAAGTGTCTGGCTAGAACATTTATTTGATCAAGTCTGCCTTTGATGTGCCAAACCCAACCAGAGTCCTGATAATAGTTACAGGGCTAACACTGGTTCAGGAGGTGTAACCGGTGTGCTGTCCCACTAAGTCTTTCTATCCTAGGGAAGAAAATTCACCAGCATTGCGAACTGATGGTGATCAGAATGGCTGATGTCTGTGTGTGGCCTCCCTACCTCTGCAGGGTGCCCCATGGCAGCGGTGGCTAAAGCGTAGCTTACCAGCATCAGCATAGATTAATTCTTAAATGCAGTTTAAAGTGCTTTGGGGTTATTAGACTTGATATAGCACTCTATATACTATGTACTGGCCATCAGCCAAACTAAAACATTAGTTTAAACACAAAAAAGAACAGAAGGAAACATTTTACTGTTGTTCCATAGATATAATATATTGCAAATCTAGTTTAATAAAATTCCAAGATTTTCAAGGTTATTAATACATATATTTTCTTGACCTTTATAACCATTAGTCTTTGCTTTAAAATAGTCAAATGGAGCTTAACAGAACTGCTCTCAAACACACAAACAGTGTGAGACGGACCCTGCTTAAAACTATGCATTTAATTTACTGTTAAAGGACTGGAAGCTGCTAACAATGGTTCTGCATCTTAAAGCTTCAAATAAATGGAAATTAAACTGAAATATCAGATCAGTGCAGCACCGAGAAATAAATCAAAGTTTAACGTTTAGATGATTGTACTCACGGAGAGAACCCTGTCTCCGACACGCAGCGTGCTGTCTCTGTGTGCGGCTCCTCCCTCGGCAATTCTAGAAATGTAGATGCCCTGCAAACCAACACATGGTCACAAATTTCAAAATTTATCTTTTCATCTCTTATTTTAAAAATATGCTTTATGAACCCTTGTGCATAATTTTGAACAAAAGCAAAATAACAAAGATGCTTGTCATGACTTGTAGGAAATGTAAAATGTTTGGCTTAAAAGACTAAACTTTGATTACAAAAATGGGAGGATGTAAAAACAAGATTCTATCAAAATCTGTCGTCATGTCTCTTGGTTATTTAATACATATAGGTTATGAAGTGTTATTTAAAGAGTCTCCGAGTGAACCGGAGAGATAGAGCATCAGGGTGCATACACAGAGCCTTTCCTATCTTTAACACCTGGAATTTAAATAGTTCTTATATAATCCTGTTAGTTACTATAAAAAAAAATGTCCAGATTAAGTCCAATAAAAGCACATTTAATTACCAAAACCATTTAATCTAGAGGTCTTCAACAGGGGGGTCCCCAGAGATACTGCATGGGGCTCGCAAAAGTTTTGGTTGATTAGACCAATTTTTTCAGCTAATTGAAATATCTTTAAATCCACATTAATATGAATTCAACACACTTTAGTAAACAGATAAATGGAGGCAGAAGATGTCTTTCAGTCATTAATGCACACATTCAGCGACACACAGGAGCTCTTTCAAGCTGGGCACCGTTTCATTCACAACACCTGTCCCATCAACCAGGAATCAGAATCAGAAATACTTTAATAATCCCAGGGAGAAATGACTTTCGTTATATTACTCCACATGTAATAGAAAGACTATAGGACCAGTTTGATATAAAACTATTTAATACAATAATATAATTAGGGGGTCCCCGCTCCATCTCGCCATCAGTTTCGGGCTCCTTAGCCTGGAAAAAGTTGAAGACCCCTGCTTTAATCCATCCCCCTTGAAGATATGCCCCTTCTCTGCTCTAACTAACTAAGGAACATAATTAATGAGGAACCATGTGAGCTGCTATCCTGCTCCAAAGCATAACCTGAAAATACTTGCAGAGGCAAAGGCTGCGGCATCACATCCACCGTAGAACCAACCATACAACACACAACTGCCTTCATTAAAAACAAAAGTTTGAAAAAGAGCCAACACTTACAGTCTGACCTGCCTAAATCACACGTCCATGAGTCCTTTTGCCCCCCTGTGCTTCCTGAGCTACAGAGCGGCGTCTACACCTCTCACCATGTCCCATCAGTGGAACTATCATGTATCAGGGTCGGCTATTCATATCTCTGTCACCCCGGTGACGACTGTAAACGCTGTGGCCAGAATAGGCTTTGCTAAAAGACGGATATCTTTCACTGTGACAGTTACTGTATGTGTTGGGACTTCCTAACTTCCAAATTCCTCATTAGTGAATTTATACAAAATATAAAAAAAAATGAAATGACAGCAGTGGTTTATAAAGGTATAGTTTTTAACCTGGAAATATAAAAAAGAACACATAAAACACACTGTCAAAAATGCTGTCATTAACAGTGGTGCAGCTTACCGTGTCCCCTGTACGATACGGTGTTGAGCCTTTGCCTCCTGCGATACTGAATCCAAGGCCCTTGTCATTCCGGATCAGGCAGGTGGAGAACGTCTGCCGGGTGCCGCTGGGACTGCCCTCCAAGTTGAAGGCGAGACCGCTGCTCCTCCTCTCCCGTGGGAAGTAGTCGTCCTCTGGCCTCAGCGGTGTGGTGGTGATGGCGTTCTCGGGCTCCACCATGCGCTCCCGCAGTACTGTCATGGAAACCGTCGCACCGGAGCTACGGAGAGCTTCAACTGCTGTGTGATGCTCTGCTTCATGAAGGTCTACGCCGTTCACCTGACAAACGGATGTTGGTAAAACTCAACAGGTCGAGAGAGAAACGTCTCTAATCTATTATAATCGTGCTCATTTGTACCTCTAGAAGCTTATCTCCCACTTTCACTCCTGCTCTTGCAGCAGGACCGTCCTCAGATACTCTGGAGATGAAGATTCCCTTAAAAAATAAAAGAAAGTATATTCAAACTCTGCAGTCCACATTTCCTTGGTGCCATCCTCAGCCTGTCCAAATCCAGGTGGACTTTTCACCTCATCATCTCCCTTGTAAGGTGTAGATCCTTTTCCTCCCGCTATGCTGATACCAAGTCCACCAGATTGTCGCACAATGGTCAGAGAGTGCTGCAACGTTGATAAAACAAGTCAGGCACCGCATGAATGAACGAATACCAACTTCAAAAAAGGTCACACCAGGTTTTGAAGGTGAAAATAATCTTGTTTGATAAATTAGCTTTTTTACTGGTTTTGGTTTGATCCTTTATGATGATGACTAACCTTTAGTCTACCATCAGTCAGCACCTCAATAAAGAGTCATTAAAATGAGATCCTAACTTTGGCAGAAAACCAATGCTATTTATGACAAAAAGGCAGATTAATATACCTTTGTAATTTTTGAGCTATGAGAATATCCTTCAATAACAATGTCTTTTTCTTTTTTTTCCCCCAGATGCACGTAATGTGTAACAAAGGTGGTAGCATCATCTTCTAGGTCAAAAATTAACAGAAAACGCTGAGTTACAAAGTAAAGAGTCCTGCATAAAGAAACCGTTTTGGACTTTTAATGCTTTTTAGACTCCAGGTAAACACAGTAAAATAATAAGTCTACTTGTCTGAAAAATAAATAAATATAAATGTTTAGGTTAGAGCAGTATAACATTATTGTATAACTACAGATCTAAGCTAATTTTGTGCTGTACAAAGATTAAATGAACTCTTAATAAATACTGCTACAGGATCACCTTAAAGCCAAGAGAGATTAGTTTGAACATTTTAAAATATGATTTTCAAATGATTCTATAGACGCAACTGAATAAGGCATTTAAAAGATGAAGGACTGGGGGCATTTAGGTTTAGAGTTAGGAAACGTAAGTAAGTATCAGATATATAACGGGGGTTTCTATTGATCTTCTTTACTAAATAAGCATTAATATGACAGTTTGGGAGTATTCACAGCCTGGTTGTAAAACAGAGAACTTTCAGCATAAAATGGTGATAGAAGAATTTAAAAATGTAAAAGATTTTTCACAATAAAAAGTAACTTACTTTTCAATACAGAACATAAGGAGGATGCATCACAAAGAACATGCGTTCTACATTAAGCTATGTAACAAGTTAAGAGATTGTGTGACGGAAAATTATGCCTTTATTGGCAACCATTACACGAGCGGCATGATATCTCAAATATTAAATTCATGCTAAGAGAGTGGATGGAAACTAGAGGAGGGAGGAAAGTGGAGTAAACATGCTATTCCCTGCATTTAAAGTCACAGCCATTTGTTATTTAGGAAGTTCTATAGTTGCACTTTAAATTGAACCTAAAGGATTTATCCATGCAAAGACATTTTTCTGCTTAAATTACCTAGAATTGAAAAAATGTAAATAATTTTGGAGAAAAATCCCATTCTAGAAATGAGCAACATGGACAGAAAAACAGAGAGCAAAGCTGCAGAGCGAGATGAGAGCAAGAAAACATGCAGTGTGCCACAACCTGAGCTTTGCACCATCAAAGTTAGAAAGAAAAGGAAGCTCTGGCAGCATTTTCATGGCAGGACAACATATAGCACAAACATAAACCCTTTAAAAATCTTCACAGCATAACCCTGACCAAGGATTATACACTGGAAATTCTGTACAATCCTGTCTCATTTAAAAATCTAAATGATTCTATTAAAGGTGACTTAGAACTATTCAGATATATTTTCTATGCATTATCATTTATAGTTATGGAACAATCTTGTGTACCAAGTGCCTGCTTTGAAAGATTAAGAGTTTTTTATAGTATGGAGAAACAAAGAATGACCATCTTAATTTTGCTTTTCCAAAGTTTTCAGAAAAATACATGGTTAGGTATAAAAAAACACCTCATGTTGGGTGCTAGGTAAGAAAGACTAAAAGATGCTTTCTTCAGCCAGCTCTGTAAGAGCTTATTTTTGATAACATAAATCGTAATTTGTCAAATGATATCAAAATGTTTGCCTTTCTTGTACTTTTCCAGTCTTAAGTAATTAGGAGTTCTGCCACACTTATGCTCCCGTTAAACATCTGTTAGGAATTTATTTGTGATTTTTGAGGGTATTTCTCTCCCCTTCCTGAACGTCTGTTAGCTTAGGTGGATGTATGATGCACACATGGGCACACAGGGTGGAAAATAATAGGTACAGACCTCTTCCTCCTCAATTCGAGCAGGTTCAATCAGCAGATTATTGACTTGATCAAATGACACCCCCTGTTAGGACAGGAACCAGCAAGAGGCATGCGGATTAGTCAGGCCAAAATTAATATATACACTCATTCCCACACCCACGCGGTACACGCTCTCCATTAACATCACACGTTCCACATCACTATCTGCCTACTGAAGCAGAAGTGACTCCACTTTCGCTCCCCAGCCACCGAAAGCAAATACAGGCAGAGGTGGAAAGACAAGACCAAGGAGCTGAGCCAGAGTGCAAAACAAACACCAGTGTGCAGCGTGAGCAAAAACAAGAAAGCAGAAGAAGCACAAGCTACAAACTGTAAGATAAGGATTTACTTCCTCGATGGTAAAATCATAGAGGACTGTTTAAGCCATGATTTATAGATGGGAAAAAGTATATTTTTGTGCAATACACTAAAAATTTTACTTTTTTCATTGCTTAAGTCCTCAAAATGTAATTTGCTGTACTGGGTGCTAACATTTAATGTATAGATCTTGGTGATATTTAGGAACATAAAAAATAGAATTTAAAAGAAGTAAAATGTGACTAACAATCAAATTGACTGGATAGCCATTTATTGGCCACATTTTTCATTTTTTAGCTCCCCTGGTGAAGATTGGAAATAGTTTTTGTTGCAGCAGATTTTCATAAATAAACCAGCTCTGTTAGGAGCAAGACCAGGAATAAAAAATAAATAAAAATACAACAACAACACACAAAAGACACCTGATGCATTTAGTTCAGTATAGAGTTGGATCTATGAAATTACACATCACAATGTAATTGTGATAAAGTATGTGGATAAATCTATGAAATATGAGGATGCATGTACTAAAACACACTGCACAATGGTGCATTTGGTAGCCCTGTTGCCTTGCGGCAACAAGGTTTTGGTTCCATTCCTGGCTAAGGGTCTTTCTGCATGTTTTGCCCGTGCATATCTGGGTTCTCCTCGGCTGGTCCAAAAATATGTCTGAATGTGTGGGAATGGCATGTCTGTGTGTCTCTGTGTTGCCCTATGACAGATTGGCGACCTGTCCAGGGTGTACTCCATGTAGCCCCACCGCAACCCTGTTGGAATAAGCGGAAGAAGATAGATAGAAAAACTAAAACGTGGTTGATTCTCGATAGTTTAAAAAAATAAAACAAAAAATGTTTTATATACGATGTGAAAAGCAAAAGGAACAATCCTTCTGGCACTGTTGGTTTTTTATAGACATGTTTCCTAATATTGTTTTTATTTTTTACACTAAAAAGATGTGTACAGCTTGAATAATTGATTTTTTTTCCTCCTAAACAGTGACTTTCCTCGCAGAATTGATGAGCTAATCGGTATTTTAAGAAAGCCCACATTTTTGACAAGTTAAATTTTTTCCTCAATAGTTGTCCCTAAACCAGCTTCTATATTAAATATGCTGCTGCCAAAAAAAGGTACTTTATTCTAAAACGTGATTTTTCTAATACATCGATCTTAATAGGGGTATCCAATGTTAAAGTACACCGCAGTTTATTAAACTATTACGGTATCTTTAATGCCTTATAGTGGTACCAGTGTTTTGTTAATCTATCCCATAACTTATAACATTTAAAATACTTTAATTGAAATTCAAGCATAAAAAAACAAAAAATCTATTGAAATAAATGTACTTCTATAATGAGTTTTTATCGAATACGAGGCTCGTTAGATCTCATATTCCAGCTCTGCCAGTAAATGTTCTGTCTGGTCCAAGTTCAGCCACACAAACAGAACCACATTCATAACAACACACACAGAACAGATTTGGTGAGATGATCGTTGTGTTAAGCAGGATTTGAAAATAAATCAATACAAGTCATTGAATCTCCCCAAATACTGCACATTTATTAAGGAATCAGCAGCAACTGATCAGACGTTTCTAGAATCAGTGGTGCACATAAGCACATGGGTGAAATGTTATGAAAAGCAGAGAGTGCAAACATTATCAGCAGATGATTTGTAGTGTGAAGTTTGGTTTTCGAATGAATCGGTGTTCTGCTGAAAAAGCAGATTTTGATAGCATGATTTACGTGTAGATAATATGCATAAACTGTGGTCTGAGGTTGTCTCTCATGTGAGGTTTTGGTAATTTTCTCACAAATGTGTTTCACTACTGAGGGATGTTTAAAACTGATGGTGAGGATGAATGTTTTTCTAGTTTTTATACCGTCTTCCATAAATCCAGACTGCATGCTGCGAGAGCCTGAATCAGGTTTACCTTGACTTGGCTGGAGCTGCCCTGATGCCGGATGTCGTCCAGCTCTTCTATTCTGTGATGGTGCTGAGGGGTGCCTACAGCCAGCTCAGCCCCCTCCTGCTCCTCTTCTTGCTCATCCTCAGCAGGCTGTGTCAGGGAGTTGAGCCCATCAGGACTGAAGCCCTGCAGCAGTGCGGCCACGGCCTCGGGTTTGGGCAGCTTGTTGATTTTGAAGTGCTTCTTGTAGTGTGGTGTGTCCTTTCTGATCAGCCGCTGCTTCTCTTGGGGAAAAGCTGGCCTCTCGTCCTCTTCGTCGCTCCTCTCCCCATTCTCTCTGTCTTCTTCATCATCATCCTCATCTCCACCGCGGATAATCGGTTCTTCTGCAAAGTGCACGGTTGGCTTGGGAAAGAAAGTGATTCCATCTCAGAGATTTAAAAGCAAGAGTTGCTGTAGATTTCTGGCTAATAGTTTTAGTTATTTTTTATTATTCTTTACTAGTTTTTAATGGTGCCAGTTAACACAGAGTCCAAGGGTCAATCTCAAGAAATATTAATACAACTGCAAAGTTAGTTTTATTCAAAGAACGCCGGCTACTGGCATTTCATCTCAAGGCACTCTAAAGAGACACTTCAATCAGGGCATACAGTCAAGATTGGTGAAAAGTTTATTATCATAAAGAAAACCAAGTGACTCCACAGACTCAATGCAGTGGAAGCAATGAGATACTTAAGAGTTTGAGGGAGATTCAAAGATTGAGCCATGACTGAAACATGGATCTCAGAGGCATCTTATCAATGTTGAAAGGAAAAGGGACTGTGCTGTTGCTGAGTGGTTCCAGATCATCCTTTTGGATGAAAATAAATGACTGCATCCATAAATACTCTGCAGTAGATGCATTAAATAATGAGAAAGCCGTCTCAGTCAAACACACCGGTCATATACTGTACTATGGAATGAGTTTTTCAGTACTAAAAAAAAAAACACCTGGATTTGAAGTTTTCCTTCTCTTTAGGCCTCTGATCTTCAAAATCAATTTTGATTGGAAAACCAAAATAAATTTAGTTTTCCATGATATTAAGTTTCTTGCTAGACCAGCCACAAAATGATCTACTGGCATATCTGTGATTATATGGTTAGTCTAATAAATCAAAAATGAAGTATTATGACTGGACAGGGAAAGACTGGAGAAAAAAACAACAACAAAAAACTGCATTTCTCTGATGAAGCCCCCTTCAGACCGACATGATGGCATCATTATATTTTGATGTGTCGCCTCTTATCCAAGGGAATATTTCATTTAAAACTCTTTGCAAAAACAAAAGTTTGGGGTTTATATTTTTGTTGAATGTAGAAGAGCAAGAATAAACAAAAGGATGGGTCAAAACGCTCTCAAAAACAATCCAGGAAAAGTTTGATAGAAGGAGCAACACGAAACAGGATGGAAACGATAAATATCTCAGAGATTATGACATTAAATTTGGGATCCATGACCATAACAAGATGTGTTCAACTTTCAAAGGTAAGAGGATAGAAGAGACTGACCTGCAGCAAAGAAAAAAAATTCTTACACTGTTTAACATTTTTTAACAGTCATTGTTTACCTCAATGTATTCCACCTCCATCTCATCCAGGTCTTCCTCCTCCTGAGGAGACTGGCCATCAACCATGTCCTCCCTCTGTGAGTTAGCAACTACATTGTGTTTGTCCTCGTGTGACGTGGCAGAGAGTGTGCTGTTGGACACCTGGGAGTCGTGGCTCTGATTTGAAACATCACTCAGTCGTTTCTCCTAAAAAGAGAGATTGATTTCAAAATGCCAGTAGATCCAGGCAATCCTGGACAAGTCATCAATTAAAAGTCTGATTTTTATCACCTGTGGGTCAAGGGACTCATCTTCTCCATCGGGTCTGGATGTGAAGACCTCATTCCTCCTGTCCTCAATGCCCTTCTTCATCACCTTCAGCTCACTGGGATGAGGGGTGGCTCTGCGCTGGAGACCCTGAGGAAAAAGAAAACCCCTTTGTGAAACCAGCTGACTAATAAATGTCTCATCATCAGCAAAAGACACAGACTGTTTGATTTCTTTTATAGAAATGTACTAGCTGATCGCAAACAGCCCGATCAAGCAGGCGGAAAGGGAATCCCACTTTCTTTTAACTGATTCTGAATGGACCACAACTAAAGCCCCTGTCACACCTTGACGATTTAGAGCTGCCTGACATATGCCTGACATGCGGAAAACTATGAGTACGCTGAAGCACTCTGAAAAATGCTAGCACATGTCAACATCATCCTCAGTAAACAACAGCTAGGTTCATACCGCGATCAAAGAAATGTTTTTATCCAGGTCGGGGCGCCTCCAGGTGCATCGCTGCCCCACTCAGGACACTGGCTTGTGACATGCGTTATGCATAGGTTAGGCTGTCGCTGGACATAATACCAAACCGTCATACTAATAAGAGTCTTGAATATAGAGGCTGCTACAAAAGATGTCATTTTTTAAACACAGAAACTACTAAGTTTGCTAAATGCTAAATATGTTTGAAATGTCCAGCCTAATAAGAGCATCAGAATGACCTAATCTGTGGTCATCCAGATGTAAATAAGACTTGGAGTTAAAGGAAATTAATTAAACTAAAGCAGCTGTAAATTGGAACTTTTGAGCTTCCGATAATAAGTAAGACAAAGCTGGTAGAAAAACTAGAATCTGGTCAAATCAGTATAAGCACTTTAGAAGGTGTTTGTGGAAAAAAAAATATCAGATGAACTAAAAGATTTCTCCTAAAAATATCTTAGTAATGATTTAATAGAAGATGAGAGCTGATGAAGGATGAGTAGGAAGGAGAATATTTTATCATAATGATGAAGGTGTAGCATTTACTCACTCTAAGCTCTGCTGCAGCTTCATCATCCTCCTCTTCAGCTTTGGTCTCCTCCTGGAACTGAATGACGGACACTCTGTTCAGATTGCTGTCCGTCCAGCTGTCGTCCACGCTGTTCTGCAGAAGGTTCTCTGTGGGGTAAGGAACGCAGCGAGGAATAAATTCAATCAACTTAAACAACCCAAATATGCTATCAGAAGCAGCTCTATCTTAGCAGATAAACCTACAAAATCAAATCTGTGAATTATTGATCTTTACAGAGCATTCTTTTGAATATATGGTCTGTTCTTCTGAATAAATGGCTCACCAAGGCTTGGTGACGGCTGTTGGGGGAGCAAATAGCAGGTCAACACTTTCTCTCCCGTTCGCTCATCATCATCTGTCTGGAACTTGAGCATGGGCTGGGACTGGTTCTCTGCGAGCCACATGGCCTTTAGGTTGAGGTTTGTTAGGGCGAAAGGCAAGTTTTGTAGTCTGGACAACAAGGAAAGACGACATAAGTTCAAGCAGAACCTCTTCCTTTGAGTGGGTGAAGAGAAAGAGCTCCATATGAGACTTCAATCTAGAAAGCCTAAACTCTAAGCCAAAGGCGAAAAACCTGAGCAGACATGAATCATTTAATGCTTTCAGTTTGTAATTTAACAAAAAATATTAACGTTAATGCAGGGAGGATACCCAAGCATTAAAAAAAAACAACAACGCTTTTACGCTCAAACTTCTGATGTCGCATTCAATTTCAAGTGTAAATACAAAAACGTTTACTATGAATTTAGTTGGGAGAGTTTAAGCTAGCTAGCTCTTTAATGGCTAGACTTTTTAAGTGTGCATCAACACTGAAATCACATTTCTCAGAACATTTTCACTGCTTTGACAGATAAACAATTTAATTATACTCAAAACTTTATAATCATCCCGGAATGAGACTACTCAGGTATTTCTTTAATCACAGTAACAAAATAATATCCGTATGATGCTGCTTCTTATGGAAAACTGGCTCTATTTAGGCACAGAACCTCTAGGTAAAGTTTGTGTTTTATTAACAGTGAAGGTAAGGCTACCTGTTTCCAGCTACATCTAGCACATGCAGCTCGGTGGCGTCTGCCAGCTCAGCGGGCAGTTTGCTCAGGCGGTTATCTCTCAACGAGAGGACGTTGAGGCTGGTGCAGCCGCCAAGTTCTTTGGGAACGCTGCCAAGCCGATTCCGGTCTACATTCAGGTTAGTCAGCTTCTTCAGCTTGCCCAGCGAGCGAGGAAGCGTCTGTGAGGGGAAACGAAGGAGATTCAAATCCTGTTAAAAGAAATGGCGCGCATGGACAGATTTACTCTATCGTAATAAAATTGTACCTGTAAAAGATTTTCTGTCAGAACAAGCTCTGTGAGGTTTTCACACTCTCCTAAAGAGTCCGTCAGCTGAGTCAATCGGTTCTGGTCCACTTTCAGGATGGACAACTGCTTTAAGGAACCTGGGAAAAGAACACAAAACGTTTAGAAATGTATCTGAGCCTTCAGACATACTAAATCATTGCTTACTACCACAAGTCAATCTTTCCATAGACTCCAATGAGCAGTCTTTATTTATACTTCAGGAAGGAAGGAAGGAAGGAAGGAGAAACGAATGGATGAATGGACTGGAATAAGGCCAAAATCCGTTTTTATATGATGGGTTCATTATCCAGACTGGAGAGGCAAATGTTTTCCCAAACTCAAATCTAGAAAAAAATACCTATATTCAACTTTTCCAGGTGGTGTTTATTAGGGTATATGTCTGTGTCATCTTTAAAATAAGTCTATTTTCTCAGTTCTTCACTGACATCATTACTCCAGTAGAGGGCAGCAGCACCTTTATTAAACAAGAGTCTTAAGGCACACAAATGTTTTCCAAACCAACTTTATAGAAACTATAATTTTGCAGAGCAAAAAATAACAGTGTGCTGTACAAACACATGAGTGAGAGAGAGTGTCCTATTTTTTTTTTAAACAAACCAAAGGGAAAGGAGTTTTCCACAGAACTGAACCAGTTAAAGCTTTTTTCACCTATACTGTTTGGAATGACTTCGAGCAGGTTCTGCGTGAGCAGCAGGTCGGTGAGAGCCAGGAGGCCGCTTAGCTCTGATGGAAGCTCCTCCAGGTGGTTCTCAGAGACATCCAGACACACCAGTCGCCGAAGGTTACCTAGCTCCTGTTTGCAGAAATTAAATGAACAGGTACGACTGTGTAATTAACTCAAAAGCATAGTCATTTACTTCATTACACAGTCAAAGGGAAACACGTCATGCAGGAGATGTGTTTATTCAAGAACTGCACTTACAGGTGGTAATGAAGACAACTGATTACGGTCCAACCACAGCTCTCTGAGGTTGGGGAGAGCGCCGAGCGTGTCCGGCTAAAACAAAACAGGATAAAGCAACATCAGAAACAAAGAGCATTTTGAAAACACAACATAGGTTGCTATTTTTACTGCAAAGACATGGAAATCAGACTTCTGCACAATGCATGTTTACAGTTAGTGGAATCTGGCCCAATCAGAAAGCTGCAAACATGAAAAAAGACCAGTGGATAACTTCTGAGTCATAATTTCCATCATTTACTCTCTGCTATTATGTTATTCCTATTCATTACTCTAAGGTCCATATTTGTGCAACCATTTTTTTTCTATAATCCTTTGATGATTTTCTCCAATCCATAATTTCCCCATTGTGGGACAATAAAGAGATTTTCTATTGTTTTCTATTTAGTGAGATATTTAAGAGCATGATCTCTTAAAAATAACCATGGATCCGTTATAAACTGAAACCAAACAAATAATCAGAATTGTAATTAGGGACTATTGCATAGTAGTTAGCATAAATTTCCAATTCTTTTGAAGTTACTGCCTTATTGTTTTTATCAAACATACCTGTTTAGGTATAGAGAAGTTGGCTCTATTTTGTACCCAAAATAAGGGATAAAGGTACAAAATACGTTGTAACACACAACTTCAAAGGACTTTAATTAAACAAGCTTGAATATATCATAGATTTCATATATTAATCACATATCACAAAAAATACATCCAACCCTCCCCCCACTAACAAATGTTTCTTAGCAGGTTGTACATTGACCACAGTTTTTGACAGAATAATCCAAGTCAAATATTTGCATCCTTGGTTGATTGGTCAGAGGAGAAAATGACAAGTTGTAAGTCAGTTTGGAAGAGTCCAGGTGAAAACATGTACCAGTGCAAACTAGAAGTGCAAACTACGTAGAAGTGTGGAGCAGGTTGGTAGGACCATCGTGTTGATGCTCTGTTTTACTGCCAGTAGTAACCATGCATAGCAATGAGTGGTTGATATAAAGACATAAAGGATTTGGGACAACCTCAATACTCTTAAAGCTAGAAGGCTGAAACTTAGACACAGTTTATAGTTTCAGAGAGAATATTAACTAATACACACACAAAATGTGTCTGAATGTATAATTTAAAACGTCTATACAATAGAAAACAAATAAAGTCATGTAACCAATTCCGTTAATCAGAAGGTTTTATTGTTAGTCTACAATGAAGTAAAAACATTAGGCTGCATCATTTACAGCTCTAAATTACACTGTAATCCTCTGTCCTTCACTGTAAATCTAATGGAAAAATGTAAAACACTGGTTCCTGATTGGACACACAGTCAAGGTTTTGTTATGAAGTCACTGTTTGCTTAGTGTCGTCCCTGTGTCCCATCGGGAGGAATTGTTTACCCAGCGCTGTTCAGACAGGTGGGAGTTCCTGCACTTATCTGCTGCTTCAGTGCTGAAAAAGCACCTAAAAAACGCATGCTGAGGAAAATGAGTCTTTAGGATCATAACTATTTCAAAAAGAATGAAGGACAGAACCCTAAAAGACAGGCAAGCGTCTTTAAGTGAGGATCTATATGAAATTTAAGGGTTTTGTTTGGATATTGGGTGAGAAAATTAACTAACCAAAACTTCCAGTTCATTGCTGCCCAGGTCCAGCTGTTCCAGTTTCACCAGGAAAGAGAGTGACCTGCGCATAAGACAGACGAGAAGTTACGTCACCTGAATAAAGGAACAAAGGATACGGCTCCCCTTGTGGTAACAGCATACCATGTGATCTCTCATTCACAGAAGGCTTTGGATCTTACTCTACAGTATGTAGGTAAAGGCTAGAGATTTAATTGAAAAAGAAATCTGCATACTTGAGATTTTTTGAATGGCTATGAAGAAATCTGATCCAAAACATCAACAGAGATGACTTAGGTGTGTTTTTCATAGTGACTGTAAACAATGGCAAAACATGTATACTTAAATGTAAACAGTGAGCAGATTTGACACTTACGTAGGTAGAGACTTCAACCGGTTCTCCCTGAGCTCTAAGGTCACCAAATTGCCCAGACTGTTAAAGGAGAAAGAGAAAAGGAGGCAGAGGAGTTGGCATAAGAGGAATTGTTGGTTGTTGCTTGGACAAATGGCAGGTCTGGTCATCAGGGCTGCCTGGCCACTCAGAGGCTCATCCACCATCAATCTCTCAATATACTAATTGGTCTACCTTCCAGGTGGCAGCTTGGTTTGAGCAGTGTCAGATTTTTAAAGAGGCCTTGCCAAATAATTTAAACCCATTGAACTTTTGGAATGTCACATTACAACCATTAAACGTCATTGTAATTTTGCTGCGGTGTGACATACCGTAACAAAGTGGTGCATAAGTTTGAAATGAAAGGAAATTAGCTTTAGAAGTCACCTAGTTGGTTGTTAAGAGAAAGTGTAACCTGCGTATGAATGCAGCTGCTCTTTGAGGGCCTTAAAGGTTTATTAGAAAAGTTATTGAACATACTGCATCACGAAAACCAAGCATCTGAAAATAGTATGGAACAGTTTCATACCTACAAATACCCACTATCCATCAATAAAGTCAAGATCTCAGAATGGTAAAGCTACTGAAAAGATAACTATTAGTTGTGGCTTCCAAAAATCTGGTCTTTATGGAGGAGTAGCACGATTAAAGCCACTGTTGAAGGCATCCCATAATATGTATATTTTGAAACAAGCCATGAAGAAAGTGGGATAATCACTCGTCACTTTAACAGAGCAATAAAGATATGACAGGATTATGGTTTGGGAAGATTTTCTAGAGCAGATGGACAAGAGACTGGACTGAAGGATCACTTTCAAGCCGAACAATGGCCTTAAACATGAAGACTGGATTACAGTGGGATGGTCTAGATTAAAGCTAATTGAAGTGTGCCCGACGCAGAGTCAGGATTTTTTTGAGGTGCCCAACGACTGTTGCAGAACCTCTGCACGGGAGGCGTGGTCGCACAGAGACAGATTTGACGGTTGCAGAGGCTATGCGTCAGAAGCATAAATTGGTCTTTATGCTGACCTAGTCAAAAATCAGACTTAAAATCAAATGAGGGGCAAAAGTAGAAATGAGAATGGAATCCTCCCTGATGATCTCCATCTAATCTTATGTTGTTTGAGACTTAAAGCCTTACAAAAAACTTAGTTTTACTTAAAGTGAAATGTGGTGCCAAAGAGTATCAACTAAGAGGAGAAATTCATATGATGCAGTTTTAATGGGGCTGGAACTTTAATTTGTTAATTTTGATTAATTAATAAAGATTTAAAAGCATTAAAATAACTAATAATTATGCAAATAATCCAATTGTTTTTATACCTTTGTAATTCTTGTTTCTTTTACACCTGTGAATCTGGAGCACATACATCAGTCCAGTCCCCTAGTGGCATTCAAGCTTTAAAGCCATTTCACTGTAACTTGTTGCGGTAAACACAGATGTTGATATCGCTAACATCACCATCCACAGTGCGGCAGAAATTATCCAGCTAGATTCTCCAGAGCTTCAGAGCCAACATCAGTAAGTGCAGGTCTGAAAAAGTAAACAACTCCCTGGTAAAAACGGGCTGGAACATGGATTGTTAGTGTTAGTAACTGACTTGAGGTTAAAAAGTAGCCTCAGTTGTTTATATGTTGGAAATTGAACTTTATCTTCTGTTAACAGCAAATGTTAAACTCTCACTGTAATATATAAATACAAACATTTAGGAATTGTGCTTTGATTAATGGTAATGTACTGTTCACAGTTCTATTGAAGCTGTTAGAAGTTGCATAAAATATTCAAGGCTTTCAATTAAAGCTAAATGATTGAAACTTTTAACCAATCTGAAGCTTTTTCAGTGAAAACAAATGAAACTTTGTTAATATTTGCAACAATGAGCCATATACATACTTTCCAATGTCATTGGGTAATGTCTGTAATGTCACATCGTTGAGTGAAAGATGGGCCAGTGTTCGCAGCTCAGTGAAGCCATCTGGCAATCTGAGAAAAAAGAGACAATCAAATCAATCAAAGAGACAGATAAAAACAGTACACAAGAGAATACCTCTCTATTAAAGCAACATATAGCAGCATAAAAGTCAACTAAAATGAAGCCTATAATTAAACCGGGAAGCACTCGGAATGAGCAGGAACCCACCAAGTAGCATTGTCGCATTGTCTCCTATCCGATAAAGTTAAGGATTGATTTAAGATATCCAGATCATCACCAAACTTTAGCGGGTTGTAAATGGGGCAAAGACACGCCTACAGTAAAAACTGAGGAGGAGTCCTTCTTTATATTACTGATTTACCAATACACCGGTTCTAGATGTGAACAGGACAGATATGCCTATCTGTAGGGCCTTGTTACATCCCCAAGATGGATGTAATTTTTTTTTTGCACCCAAGTATCACCTTGCTCTGTTTTAGGCTCCGCCTCTAAGACTGGATGCTGCTTCCTGACCCCTTGCTCACACTGGCTCCGGTGCGGTTACCGAGCCGACGGAGACCGCAACTCCCTCACGCCCCCTCTCACACCGCCCTTTTGACTACGGTGCGGTGCGGCTCTGCGGCTCCAGCAACAGGTCTGGAGATTTAACTCGCGAGAACAGAAGTTCACTTGATTTCATGTAACTTCACGCGATAACACGGCCCAAATAAGGATATTTGCGAGAGCTTGTTGCGGAGGGCTCCGGCACGCCGCAAGGATAGCTTTCTTGCGGAATTTTCTGCAGCGCCGGAGTGTCTCGGTAACCGCAGCCGGACAGCTCAGCAGCCGGTGAGAGAGGTTTACGTCTTTTTAATGACTTGGAATCACTGCGGCGCCGCACCGCAAGGGTAAGACCGGAGTCGGTGTGAGCCGGGGGTGAGTCTCAGCCCAATCAGTGATCACCTGCATGCTATTTAAGGCCTGTGAAGCTGTACTCCAGGGCCTCCTGGCCATTTGTTGGCCATACAGCTCTGTGGTTATTGAAGCATCCAATGGGCTGTTAATTTGCTGCCATGTAAACCAGCTCAGGGAGAGCTGCCCTTTGTTTAACCCCAGTTTTCTCCTGTTTATGTGCTTGTTAGGTAGGTTATTTTGTAGGCTTGTATATTTTGGTTTTAGTTTGAGTTAGGTAAGTCCACTTTTCTTTTTGAGTTGTTTTGTTTGTTATTTTGGCCTGAACTCTGTCTGAAGCTTTTACCATCATACAGAAAACTTTATTTAAAAGAAATGGCAGAATATAAGCGATTGAAATGCCTTTTTGACTCCTTGATTAACTGTCTAAATTTATGTTGGTCTCTTATGCCTCCTAGACCCAGCCAGGGAACATAACAGCCTTTTCTGTTTGTATGTTTTTTTTCTATAACTACTGCTCTAACCCACTTAGAGAAGTAAGTATATAAAAATTGTATAAAAACAAAAATATTTTGCATAAAAAAATGTAGCCTGTCAACATGCTCTATCCAGAACTGTTAAATATACTTAAAGCCAGGGGCGTGCGGGTGGCGCAGTGGTTGGTGTGCACGACCCATGACGCGAATCCGGCCTGTGATCCTTTGCCGCATGTCTCTCCCCCTCTCTCATACTCCCTTTCCCCACAAGTGCCGCAAAAAAAAAAAAATCTTTAAATCCGGGAATAAACTGTGCGGCTGAGAGCTACAGCTTTCACGTACGATGAAACCCTGCGGTTTCGTCGTACAGTGTGAATTCACAGCTCACTATGCATGTTCTCACACTGTGTGGCCAGACGCTGTGATGGGATTTACCTGATCACACTGTACGTCTGAAAACCACGTCAGACCCAACTCCGCAGTGAGATGGCGCTACTCGGACTCATCTATCCGGAAGCCAAACCAGTAGAAGAGGAAAAAGAGGGAATGGTCTATGCCTCCTATCAAATCTGAAGCTCTCTAGAGTGAAACGTGCTGCCTTGTCAATTTCTGCAATTTTGTGCTGAAAGCCCCAAAAAGAAAAAGCGACAACGTATTTGGACAAAGACATGGCTGAGCAAACATGGCTACTATGGTCTGTCAATTTTACAGACAGAACTCACTCATACCCCCACCATGCTTCTGTTCTTGTCTGAGAGGAGGAATCCTTGTTTGCGCATGCCCACTGAGCGATTTGCCCATGTCCACCTTACGACAACCGACTGAATTTCAAAAACTTTTGATTCTATCCCGAAACTTACGATTTCTGATCGCGAGGTTGTCGTGAGAGGCTAATTGCCCCTCGTTACCCCATGTACACTACACGACTCATGATCAGGCTGAAAGTCGCCCCGATCGAAAAATTCTCACACGACTAGAGGATTGTCAAAAAATCGTGGAGTGTATGCCCGGCTTTAGGACCCTTTTGCTATCAGATTAATTGAAAGAAATTATTTACAAAGTCATCGATTAGCAAAATAATCGATAGTTGGAGCCCTAATACCAACACTACTGAAAACATATCCTCCTTGGAAGAGGCAATAACCTCAAAGCAACACATAATAGGGAGAGGAAAGGTAAACTGAGATTAAGACATTATCTCAATTTGGATTGGAAGAGATCAATAATTATAGACAATTATTAGATATTCAGTTCACCAGTTATAAAACTGCCCCCCCCCCCCCCCCCCCGAGATAAAGTGAAACTTTGATACCATAACAAAAAAAAGCACAAAGCCTTGCAGAAGACAACTGAAGGACTCAGCTGGCTTCTTATTGGATTATTGTGATTCAATATGAATAAAGCAATGCAACCTATAGCCACAAAATGTTTACCTGGAAAGAGGGTTTCCACTGAAATCTGCAATCTCCAGTGACTTACAGAACTTGATGCTCTCAGGGATCTCAGGGATATCTGCAAGGAACAAGATAGGTTTCTTTTGGTAAAGAGGTCAGAAAGACAAATGGTGAGCAGAACATATTAACTTAAAGCACATCCAGATGAAAAGGGGGTCCTATGGGGGGGGTACTTGTTGGATTAATTGTACAAGTTATTCTACTTTAATCATATTATACTTATACATTCATATTTACACATTTGCATATTCCTGTATACTTGTATTACACAAAGTGTTGAAATGTTTCGCTTGCTGTCTTTCTAATGCTTGTTATTAGTGTGTGCAGATGCAGTGCTGGCTGCTCAAGGTCAGCAAGGAGAAAACACGGGGAAATGCACTCACTAACACCGGAGAAAGGAGTGAAAGCTCTTATCTCATGATATTGTATGATGTGATGCAGAACTTCTGGTACCGACTGGGTTTCACCCCTCCCTTCTGGTTCCGACTGGCTTCACCCTTCCCCCTCCCCTTAGCAGTCGGAACCACATTGTAGCCAGGGCGTTTCCTTAATAAAAAGCTTGGTAGAGCGGAGACTTTTTCAGAGTGGTTTGGAGAATTGTAACTGAACAGTCTCTGATCACTCTCCTTGCAAGTAAATCATACTAAAATTCTCTGTGTCTTTATTTGTACAGGTTACTGCATAAAATGTTTGGTGTTTAAACCTAACATTAATTGGTCCTTCGAGCCGGATTGCAAGATACCCGACGACCCCCAGCAGGTGAGTGAGATCCAGATAAGCCTGCGGCCGCAGCAAAGAGACCCTTTACGGGACTGGTCTCTCCCTTACAAGCTGGGGTCCGACGGTTGAAGCATTTCGAGGACGCAGAGAATTGTGAGTAGTTTTTCTTTTAATAAGGAGTGAGTGAGTTATTGGAAGAAAAATATATAAAAATATAAAAAATTTATAAAAATATAATAATATATAAAAAAAAAAAAAGAAGATAGAAGTGAAGGGCGTGGGGTCACGAGATTCCCCTTTTGAAGTCCTCTCAGCGTGGGGTCACGAGATTCCCCTTTTGTACTAAAACCCTGACAATTCTAGACTCTATCAGGTAAAACAGAAATTTTAAAACAGTTAAAGTCCGCGGGAGGGCAGGCTCCCCTAGTTTGTAAGGGCAGGTTCCCCGAGTTGTAAACTAGTTAAATTCTGCATAGGATAGCGGCGTCCTCTGTGTTTAAAATAAGGTAAAAGTTAACTGCGCAGTGTGTGTGTGTGAGTGTGTGTGTAAAAGGAAATATAGATATCACTAGATATCTGTATTTCATACCAAAAAGACAAGGGTTAAATGGTGAGCTTTTGTGGATGTTTGTAGACAAGAAAACTCCACCTGTAAAGGTTGAAGAGAGTTTTACCACAAAAAGTAGTTGATCACCATCTTGTCTGAAGCCCCAGTGTTTAGAACACGACAGGTGTTAAAAACCCACTGGGCCCAAATTTAGTTCAAAATGGGAAAAGGGCAAAGTAAAGAAAAACAGAAGTTATTAGAGAAACTCCAGTGCAAAGATTGGAAAGCAGTCGAAAATGATGACCCATTGGCGGTAGAGCCATTGTTTCACTGGATAAAAAACTACGGTTTTAATGGCAAATTGAGCACCACAAACATAAAAGATTTGCAACAAAACATAAAAACAAAAAGCAAAAATAAAGACACTTTGATGGCAAAAGAAGGTTACATGCAAACCATGGTCTGGATGAAATTGGCAGGTCAGAGAGAAGAGGGAGAGAGAGAGGAGAGACAAAGAAAAGAGAAAGAAGAGGAAGAAAGGGAAAGTGAAGAAAGAAAAAAGAAAAAGGAAAGATCAGTTATGTTTCATAGAAAGGAGGATGATGAGTACGCAGGGCCCTATTCTAACCTGATACATCAAATACATAATCTCCCACCAATGGGAGGTGCTGCCGCTGCAGCCGATCCCTCAGCTCTCTCACCCACGGGGGATCCTCCACGATATACTCCCCCACAACATGTAGAAGCACCATTGAAAATAGCCCCTCCACAAGCTGATACCTCCCAGGGATATATTACTAGGTCCAAAGGTTCTGTAGGAGATTGGTCAAAAACTTTAGCGACAACATTTAATGACATTCTGTCTCCACGGACACCCCGAGTGATGCCTGTGAACCTGGAAGGTGAAGGAGCAGTCCTCACGCTTCCTTTAATAGAATTACCAAACCCCTTAGCAGGCCAGGTTGAGGGGAATGCCCAACAACCAGCCACAGTAATGGTATACAGAACCTGGACACAGGAAGATGTTAGAAAAGCAGTAGAAGGAATTCCCTCTCCAAAGAAGGATGTGGAAGAATGTGTAATTCAAGAATGGGTAAATCGTCACCACATAGAGATGAGTGGTGCAACACTCCAAAAGTATATAAATCACGCCCTGCATGCAGAGAAAGTCATAAAAAGTAAAAAGAATAAAAATGAAGAATCCACTGTGTTTTATCAGGAGGAAGAGGACACTGTGTTTTATCAGCAGTCCGGAGGTAGGGGCCGAGGCCGTGTAAGGGGAAGAGGTTTTGGATCACGCTCAACTGATAATTCCAGAGCGTGTTGGTCATGTGGAAAAAAAGGCCACATAGCTAGACACTGTCAAAGTAAACCACAAAATGCAGAAAGCTCAGCATGACTAGATGAGCAACCATTTTCTATTAGAGAGATAGAGGGTTAAAATATGGATGTCTTAAACCTAGAAGATTTGTTTTTTAAAAGAAAAATATAGACCAGAAAAAGTTCTGATGGTCCAGGGCACTCCTGTTAAATTTTGTGTGATACAGGAGCCTGCAGAACCACAATAAAAGAACCCATACCCTTGCACATACCCATCATAAAGATGATTTACCTGTAGGTCCATATTCAGCATTATTACAGCAAGCACAAGCAGCTTTACAGCAAGACCCAAATGAACTTGGTGCTGCTGCTGCTTCTGCTTCAGCCCCAGTCTTGCCAGCTCCTAAAGTTGAAAATCCACCGGCTTATTCTCCTATGCCCAGCACCTCCACAAGGGTTACCCGTTCTGGGGGACCTGTGGGGGCTTGGTCAAAAGATATGGGGGGAGGCTTAATCTCCCCACAGCCAGCCCCTGAACCCAAACCTGAAATTGAGTGTTTCCTTTAATTGAGCTGCCAAATCCTTTGGCGGGTCAGGGGCCAGCTGAAAATCCATTTTTTCCTGTCATGATGGTCTATAGGCAGGGGCGGATTTAGGAAATTTGGGGCCCTGGGCATGGATGGGCAGGGCCCCCCCCCCCCTGACAAGAAAACCTATAAAACAGTCCCATTCTACAGATAGAGAAATGTTAATAGAATAGACATTCATTATTTGTTCTAGGTTCTGTCCCTCTGTTCTTGTTCCTTTTTCCTCTCTATTTATCAGCCTTCTGATGGCATTTTAGCCAAAGCATTTAAAACAAAAACATAATTAATATGCACAAATAAGGATTAGTTGTATTAACTATACATGTGAATAGCACCCCAACAGTTTTCCTGTGTGACAGTGGTGCATGCAGAACAACTGTTAAACAACAAATTCCAGGTGCTGGCCAAGGACCTGAGACTGTCATAGTCCGATTAGCTCAAGGTCATTTAAAGGCTGTGCAGGAGATCCAGCTTGTGTGGTTGAGAGACCCTGAAGGACTCTCCTGCCGGCTGTCTGTACTGACTTTACCTGAATGTCCAGTTAACCTCTTAGGCAGGGATGCTCTATGCTTTGCTTAGACAGAGGCTGGGCATCCCATCCCTGGTAGGGACACTATTGGTCTGGTGTCATTGGTACTATGCATTATGCATGCCTTTCTTTTTTTATGCTTGATATGAGCATCAGTACTGATGAGAGGAATTCATTGTTTAAAGAAAAAAGGAGCATTTTGCTACATTAATAAACATTTTTAAGCACTACACTAACTAGATGCTGTTTATCAATGTTGGAGTATCACCGGCTCTGATGAATGTGGAATTAGGACTGTTTTCCACTTTGTAAATGATTTTATTTGAACAACTGAGACAGACGGTAAATACAGTACTTTCTTCTGAATATATAGAATCGTGCAGAGTTAAACCCCACTCTTATATTTTTACCTACTATGCTTCATTAAAAATAATAACTTCACTATGAAAGTTGAACATCTGGGCTGTAGTTACTCTGTGTTGCCCATCTCGTGTATTTTATCTGTGGCTGAAACCTGAATCAAATTCATTGTTTATTTGCATATTCGTAAAAAAATTTAGTGATTCATCATTAAATGGAGTATAGAGACTCTAACACATAATATACATGTCAAATCTGGCTTTCCCCGAAAGAGTAACCCACTTGGATCAGTAATCATACCAAAACTGTAAAATAAATTTATAAACATTTTGCAAATACGATTATATAATGTTTTTGTCTGTCAAGGAGCTCTTCAGGAGATGTTTTGGTTTCACCTGGTTTAATGTCATTAGTAATCTTCTTTACAGAACTTTTGGCTAACCAATTAATCGAAAGAATTAACGATAGACTGATCGATTTACAAAATAATTGTTAGTTGCTGTCCTAATTTCATCGTAACATTGTATTAAACATAACATTTCTTATTAAAAACATGTGAAATGGCCAAACTATCTTAGAATCCATAATGGCACCTATATGTGACCAGAACATAAACCAATCCTTCCAAATAAAAAAAATTCTTTGAATGAGCTGCTATATTGAGTCATGATTTTACTCATGTCTCAACCGGGGGGATTGTAGGATTGATTGAGCATTGAGCATCATTATATAGCATATGGATTTATATTCTATGCAAAAAACTTTTGTAAAGCATGTCTAATATGTGCTAAATTTAAGACCTAAAAAAGGTGCTTTCCCTAAACCTATTTATCCTTTCAATTCTGTTTGGTTATAATAGATTTGTTTTCTAAATGGATTGCAAGAAAGTGATAGTTAGATCAGATGAGTAATAAGTAAAATCACTTTCTTAATTATTCTGTGGAACCTTACCGTACTGCTTAGCACTCTAGTAATTCTACTCTGGTACCTGTTATAGAATACACATTTGGTCTCCTTCACCGACCTTCAGAGGAAGTCCATCGTACAAAGGGGGTTGTATTTTTTAGCATACAACCATCTCAAACTGGTGAAGGTTCAACTCTGCCGAGAGGTCATAGGAAGTAGACCATTGTGTAAAAAGATTACCCATAGAACACTTTTTGAAGTTTGAACCTAGATGATGTTGTGATTATTCATATTAGTTTTGTTTTTAGCTCTCGCTCAGAGCAAGGATTCTTGTTGCCCTCATGATCCAGCTATTTGTAAAAGGGACGTCTATCTCTGCTATAACTCTACTAGAGTAAGCAGTTTGGTGACTATTCCTTTTCAAACATTTTCGCAAAGATTTAAACATGACCCCGGAAATTGGCACGGTTATGATTTCTACCTATTTCCTCGCGTAGTTCAAAGAACTCATAATGGTTGGGGAGACGTATTTAGAACCACTGGACAGTGGAAAAAGGGATCATATGGATGGACACCTTTAGCTAAGAAATGGATGAGTAGAATATCAGGGTTCACTGTTAACCATGCTTCCAAAGCTTTCACTATGACAATAAACTCCACAGCAGAACCCCTTGAGAAGGAAGGCTGTTCTTACTCATTTCTAAATGCACGGTCTAGTGGAACCGATCCATGTTGGCCTTTGTATTTGTGCCCCGTAAATATTACACAAGAAGGAGATGAGATACAAGGGATTCTTACTTCTGCCCAAGGTGAACAGATAAAAATTCAAAATATTAATGGTCCGCTTAAAACAGATGAATTGTTTCAAGTCATCACTGGAATCTCTGGGCAAACAAACAACTGGCTTTTAATGGCAGAACAAGCAGCTAAAACAGTGTCTAATGATTGTCTTGTGTGTATGGGAGCTAGACCGCTGTTACGTGTGGTTCCTGCTACCATAACTCCTCAATGTCTTCTAAATATAATGAATTATACGGTCCCATCTGATAATTGCACCTATTGGGATAACATCTATCCCCTGACCACAACTGAGAAAAAGAAACCAATCTTTTTGAAAAAAGTAGCTGTGGCAAATTTCACCTGTGTAAACAGGACCGGAGCGGGCCCGAAACTAGGCACACTAAATGAAACACAATGTGCAAGTATTTTACTGGTATCCACCTTTTTTAAACTTCAATCCCACAGCGACATCTGGTGGTGGTGTGGAGATGACAAATTGTTTGACAAACTTCCATGTAACACCACTGGATTATGTGCTGCTGTCACTTTGATTTTACCTGTTTCTGTTACATCACTCACAACGGATGAATTATTGACAACTGCAAACAGCATTTTACCTCACACAGAGCATACTAGAAGGAGGAGGGCATCTGAAGATGCAAGGAGTGGAGATGACCCTACTTATATTGATAGCATTGGTGTACCCAGAGGTGTTCCTGATGAGTATAAACTAGCCAATCAAGTTTCTGCAGGATTTGAATCTTTTTTATGCTGGTGGTGTACTCTAAATAAAAATTTAGACAGAATCAACTACATCCATTATAACGTCCAGAGGCTGGGAAATAAAACAGAACAAGGCTTCTCCACCGTCCATGAACAATTGTCAGCTACCTCTCTGATGGCTTTCCAGAACAGTATTGCTGTTGACATGTTGTTAGCTGAAAAAGGTGGTGTGTGCTCTATTTTTGGAGATCAGTGTTGCACCTTTATTCCCAACAACACCGCTGCAGATGGCAGCCTCACAAAGGCCCTTGAAGGCCTTCGCTCTCTTAACAGCAAAATGAAAGACCATTCTGGAGTTGACACAAAAATGTGGGATGGATTTGGAGACATTTTTGGTAAATACAAACAATTGGTGCTTTCTATTTTAATGTCTATAGCTGTATTTGCCGCCATCTTGACCTTATGTGGATGTTGTTGTATTCCATGTATTAGAGCGCTGCTAAATAGACTGATTACCACAGCAATACAACCCATGAAAGCAGAAATATATGCCCTCATGCCCACTGAAAAATACCCATCTGATGATGAAGACAGCGCAGAGGATGAAATCTCTTTGCATTTTCCTGACTTTTATCCTAATTCCAATGACATTAACAGTAACCCACCAGTTTAAAGTACCTCTGAGTGTACTCTTTACAGCTAAAACATGATTTCATAGTTGAAAATCTGAAAAGAAGTAACTACTAAATGATAAAATAAATAGCTTAAAGTGAATAAACAGGGGGGAAATGTTGGATTAATGGTACAAGTTATTCTACTTTAATCATATTATACTTATACATTCATATTTACACATTTGCATATTCCTGTATACTTGTATTACACAAAGTGTTGAAATGTTTCACTTGCCGACTTTCTAATGCTTGTTATTAGTGTGTGCAGATGCAGTGCTGGCTGCTCAAGGTCAGCAAGGAGAAAACACGGGGAAATGCACTCACTAACACCGGAGAAAGGAGTGAAAGCTCTTATCTCATGATATTGTATGATGTGATGCAGAACTTCTGGTACCGACTGGGTTTCACCCCTCCCTTCTGGTTCCGACTGGCTTCACCCTTCCCCCTCCCCTTAGCAGTCGGAACCACATTGTAGCCAGGGCGTTTCCTTAATAAAAAGCTTGGTAGAGCGGAGACTTTTTCAGAGTGGTTTGGAGAATTGTAACTGAACAGTCTCTGATCACTCTCCTTGCAAGTAAATCATACTAAAATTCTCTGTGTCTTTATTTGTACAGGTTACTGCATAAAATGTTTGGTGTTTAAACCTAACAGTACTCCTGAAGTACCGGGTCCTTTAATAAGGTCCGTTATGTCTCTGTATGACTGTGTCAGCGCCTGGTCTGCATTGCTGGCAGTAAATCTGATTAGTTTCCGATGAGGGTGGGACTCTGCCAATGTTGCCTTTTGTCACCGATTCTATCCATAACTTTTATGGATAGAATTTGTAGGCACAGCCAAGGTGTTGAGGGGACAAGTTTTGGTGGCCTTGGCATTGCGTCTCCGTTATTCGCAGATGATGTGGTTCTACTGGCTTCATCAGGGCGTGATCTACAGCTCTCAATGGAGCGGTTCGCAGCCGAGTGTGAAGCGGCCGGGATGAGGATCAGTGCCTCAAAATCCGAGACCATGGTCTTTAGCCGGTAAAGGGTAGAGTCCCTTCTCTGGGTTGGGGAGGATGTACTGACCCCAGTGCAGGAGTTTAAGTATCTTGGGGTCTTGTTTATGAATGAAGGTAAGATGGAGCGGAAGATCGACAGGCAGATTGTTGCGGCGTCTGCTGTGGTGAAGAGAGCTGAGCCGAAAGGCAAAGCTCTCGATTTACCCATTGATCTGTGTTCCTACTCTCATCTATGGTCATGAGCTTTGAGTCATGACTGAAAGAATGAGATCCTGGATACAGGAGGCCAAAATGAGTTTCTCCATTGTGTGTTTAGGCTCTCCCTTAGAGATAGGGTGAGGATGCTCAGACATCCAGGGAGGACTTGGAGTAAAGTCAGTGCTCCTTCACGTCATGAGGAGCCAGTTGAGGTGGCTCAGGCATCTGATTAGGATGCCTCCTGGACGTCTCCCTGGTGAGGTGTTCCAGGCATGTCCCTCTGGGAGGAGACCCAGGATACGCTGGAGGAATTACTTTTCTCAGCTGGCCTGGAAACGCCTCGGGATACCCCTGGAGTAGCTTGCCAAAGTAGCTGAGAGACGTCTGGGCCTCCCTACGGAAGCTGCTACCACCGCGACCCCATCCCGAAAATGCGGAAGAAGATGGATGGATGAATGGATGGATGGATAAAGTTTTTCTTGTTGTCTTTGATTCTTTGATGTCCAGATTTTTTTTTTTTGTTCCATTGAACAACGTGTAACTACTGCACAGCTAGTTGACTTCCCACTGAAATAAAAACTTTAATATGTACAGTACCTAAAATCATTGCATTCACACTGTAATGAAAATACAATCTCACATACAGAAAAGATTATTGTATTATATCAGTTACCGGTATATCAGTATTACAACAGTTTATCTGGCTTCAGGGTTTCTGATAACTAGACATCTGAATACATTGCACATTAAAAGTAAACAGGCTACATCCTACAGGCAAAAAGGATGATTTGTTGGTCATGTTGTTGCCTAGATCTAAATACGTGCACTGTAAAAATAAATAAATAAATCTTTGAATGCTTAACTAGCTAAGTTATGAGAAGGTCACAAACAAAAAAAAGGAGTTTTTTAGTGCACAATATTGCAGGTATATATTAATAAACCCCCACAGAAAAAAAACCCAACTATTTTTTTATCCAGCTCAGAGTTGCATTACAGTAATATTTAGGAAACATGCAGGCCTACAGATGGGAGCTCTCCTATCAGCAAAGGCACACTGCTCTCACAGCACTCCATGCAGCGTGCAGTTCAGCAGATGTCTCCTATCTACTCTAGATATCCTTCTTGCCAGTTAGTATCTCTTAGATTGTAAGCAAGGACACAAAGAGGGCACGATGTTTGTGCATGTCACTAGAAAGATCCGGCATATCTGAAATGTTTCATCCGACATGTCAACACAAAGTAGGACTACGAGGGAAGAGAGTCGACATGGTTTTAGTTTCCTTAAACAGCTTATATATTTATAAAGTAACTACTAAAAGATGTTTTAAGTTTTCAGTGTGCTTCAGTTTGTTTCATAGACACCCGGTAGCGAAATAAATTGGTGTTTGCTCACCATTTCTGGAGATGTCCAGCTCCACCAGGTGCATGAAGTTAGCCACTTCAGGAGGGAGTCTCTGGATCTCATTGTCACTCAAGCCAAGCTTCCGTAAGTTCAGTAGTCTGAAGAAAGGCTGCGGAAAAATGGGATACCTTGTTAGGCTTAAAAAGAAAATACACTTTATACAAAAATCCCAGACAGCAAGTTTAGTGTTCTTTAAGAGGTCCAATGTTTTCTCTGCCCAATGTCACAATGAGGCCATTAGACTTATGTTCTTATGCGTTTATGGACCATTTAGGAATAAACAAAAGTCTTGTGAATAATTTAGCAGCACAAAATATCCCTCATTTTAGATTCAATGTCATCTATAGATTTGGGGTAAATCCAAAATGTCCCAAACACAAGGCTCTATTTTCAATGGGTTTTTATCACATTTACATTCCAAACTACCAGAGTCATGAAAGGATGAAAAATCTATTTTCTACACATTTTTCTAGACAAATTTCAACTGTTTTCTAGATTTAAATTACCAGGGTGCTGAAATTTAACAATCTCAGATGGATGGATGGATGGATGGATGGATGGATGGATGGATGGATGGATGGATGGACAGTGGAGAGGGAACACAATCTAGAATTAAAATGATTTTCCATACTTATCTCCACCTGAAACATACTTTAAATTCTATATTTTACCAGGTTGATAAAGTGGAAAAAGTTCAAATAAAACAGTAATTTTTTTTATCATTTCATCCCTTTTCTCAACTAGGAAAAATAAAAAGAGAACACATGCAAAGCATCTAATATATCCAGTAACAGACTCCAGAGGTGGTTCTGAAAACATTCCATTTACATATTTGGGAATATATAAAAAAAGTTTCACCATAGTAACAGCTGCCAAACAAAGTGGCTTTTCGTTAGGAGCGCGTTTGGCCTGCAGTCCTGCCAAATGCTTTCACAAGAGCATGTTTGTTGGACAGGATGGAGCTCAGCAACATTCCTTAGCAAGCAGAAGTGTGTCTCTGTGCTGCTCAGATGGACAGACATGACGGACTGAGGCCAGCAGGAGAAACATGCTGAACCGCTGCTCTTGTTAACCCCTCAATCAGTCCACGCTTCTGGTGCCCACAGAGGCTCTACTGTCTACCCTATCGTATCACAACTGGGACTTCTCAGACACTTTAACAAAGGAAAACTCTTGGGAATATTTTGGAAAAGGAACCTGGATCGACCTTTTCCAGGAATGCTTTCTGTCTGCAAGCTTGGAGCCAAAACCGTAATTTAAATTAAACTTCAGCCTATCAGCTAAATGTTTCTGTTGAAAAACAACCCTCTGTGTGTGTGTGTGTCAGTTGCCGCAGATTAATTGACTAAACTGAAGAAAAAAATCCAGATAATGTCTAAGCTCCCCCCTCCTCTGCACAGATTAGGTTTAAAAACATAGAGCCGTTACACTCCTGTAACCCAACTGTTGCATAAACATGCAGTAAATCAGATAAAGCGCTTAATCTCTGATGGGGACTCTTAAAAGTTCCTATTGGGAGAAAAGCATAACAAAAAAAACATTAAATATACATGTACACACAAAATGCAACATGATGGAGAGCCCCGCCGTTATGCAGATAAGAGATCAGTTCACTTCCACTCTGTTCTTTGATGATTGACATTTCCTGTTCTTGTGCATTTTCTTTGGATGGAGGGCATTAGAGCAGTTCCCGTTGAATAGGTTTAGGTTACACAGCACGTCGAAACTTAAACATAATTAACCAACAGTTATCGGCCAGACTGATATTAAAGCGGATAGCTAAGTTTTCTCTTAGTTCTAAAGTTTTGGGCATTAGGGTAAAAATAAACAAGAAAACCTTTGGTCCCTACCAGCTTTAGACTGATAAATCCCCATATAGATACCACTTCAACACTTTACAAAAGAAGTGTGAAAAATATAAAAACCATTACGTAGTATGACTCCATTAAAAAATACATAGGCAGCTTACAGGCCTGGACCATTTAAACATATTCTGTCTATTTTTTTTTTCTGTTTTACAATCTCTGCACCTAAAAATTTTAGAAATGTATGAAAGCTTTTTACACAGAAAGCTTTGATTGGAAATTATAGCCCAAGGTTGACAGGCCATTATAATCAAACCTGTACTGCCCTGTTCAAAAAAAGAAAAATACTTATAGAAAACTAAAAATCAGGAAATCTGTTAATATAACTCCTTTTATTTCATCTTTGCCAAAAAGACACCTTCATGAAGTAAAGATTTATGCTTGATTTAGCTCCTACTCTTCAACGAAAGCCTTGCCCTTACAAGGAAGGGAAAGTTTCACAGACCTAAATCGTAAACCTCCAAAATTATGATCTTTATGAGACATCAATTTGCACAAAGGTAGAAGCTGCGTATCGAGGAAGACTTCAACAACAAAAACCAACGCAGTATATGAAAAAGAATCAGTTGCATCACTGATTATAAGCAATGATCAGCAGCTCAGTCATGACCCAGCTCGTCCTGGTACCTTTAGCAGCTTCATGCTAGGACTCTCCAAACAGCTGAATCTACATCTGGTCCAGAAAAGGCACAGATGCATTTCTAGCCCATCAATCCGAGCACTGTCCTACCTTCCTTCCTCACCAACTCAGACGTCAAAAACTACAGTCCTGTAAGCTGTAGATGCATCTCTGCACCAGGGTCGACAAAAAAAAAGAAAAAAATATTATTAATCAACTAATGAAAAAAATCCACAGATTAATCGATGAGCAAAATAATCAATATCCGCATCCCTAATCAGGATACAATACTAATGGGACACCATGGTATTGATACTAGAGACAAATGTTGGTTTTATATTTTTGCTACATGTATTTTAGATTCCTCATTGATTTGCAAATGTTAAAAACCCTATATTATATATTTTTTATAAAAAAATATTTGTTTATACCATAGTCATTTTTATCCCCATTGTTGATATTGAACACCTCCTGAGGATGTAATCCAGACCATTTATTCAGGTCTGTTTCAGAAGGGGTTACATTTCAAAGTTACAGGAAAGTGTAGCTGACCCTTATTAAAAAATGTTTACAGAGCATTTCTGTTTTTCACTCCTAAACAGTATAAATACCTGCCTTATTTCATTTCAGCTGCTTCTACTGTTCCAAAGTTTTGTTTCTGTCAGTTTAGGACCTGTGAAGGATCTGACATTGGAAAAATATGACCCACTAATCATTTGTTTACTAGGAGGCATATGGAAGGAGACAGACGTCAAGACCAATATGCAGCAGATTAGAGCAACTTTCTGACAAAAAGAAAGCCAAGATGAACACAGTGTCTACAGAAACCAGGAGCAAATCTGCAACTATAACCCCTTTTGGTGCTGGAATTACTGAGGTAATGTAGAAAACACAAAACAAAAGAACATTTGCACAGGTGCCAAATAAGCATTTAGTTTGCAAAATGAATCAACACTCAGTCTCAAAGCTCCCCCTGAAAGCCTTTCCATCAGCTCATCCCTCTCTGCTTCCAATGTCATCAAGAATTTCTTAAGTGATGACCTGAAAACTACTCAGTAATGCAATCATGCCTGAGAACAAGTAATTGAAAGCACTCACAAAGACGGCCATTCACCTCTTAGTGCCATGTTAAATGAAGGGTTGACCGGAGGATGGTGAGAGTTACGCAGTGCCCCGTCCAGAGCCTTGTTTAGACCACCAGGAACTCAGTGTGAAAACATTCACTCCGAGATATCCCATTCCTCAAATTAATCGGTAGACGGCCAGCAGAGCTGCATGGCTCAGTGGGTCAATGACAATAACAAGTGGGAACACTGGGATTTCCCTTACCATCACATTGCGTTTATTATGTTTGTGAGCAGCGTGCTCAGTCTGCCTTCATCGGACCGTGACTCTATGAAAGCGTAGTGTAACTGTGAGGCAGTACACGGCTGCCATCAATCAAAGGTCATTTCTTTGTTTACAACTTTCCAGCAGGAATGTTTTAATGAGGCACCTAAAATTTTGTCTGTATAATTAAGGCGGAGCTGCCAAGAGGAGGATGTTTTCTTTTAGTTAGGAGCAGAGAACAGTAAAAGGGAAGGTATGTATAAAAAAATAACAAAAAAAACTGATTTCAGAAGAGAGCAGTTGCTGTCTGTGTAATGAACTTAAAATATTATCCTCCACTTGGCATGGTTATAAAGAATGTAGGTTATGAAGGAAAGCATGTATGGGATTTTTCCTTCAGACATACTGGTCAGAGAAAAATCAGCCAACGTGTCCTTATCTGTGGACAGACTGGTTTAGAACAGACAAACAAGATGACTTGCCCCTATTTAGGGTCTGCCATCAGCAGACCCTGTATTTGTTTTTTATTTCCCCTGAAATATAAAGTAGAACATGAATTGGTGTTAAAGTTGGACAGGAAAGCTCTATATACCAACAGATCCAGCGTGTTGTTGCTTCAGGCAACCCTGAATAAGTTCTGTTGCATCACATGGTTCAGCCTGGTTACCCATGAGCAACCAGAAAGAGAGCCGCAAAGGTAGATGTCCATCTTGGACTACAGCCCAAAGATGCTTTGAGTTATCTGCTGCGCTTGGATTACAATCAGATGTTGAGCTACATGCGTTTGTTCGCTTTATAGTCATGCTTTAGTCATCGACAGAAGATCCCGTGGTCGTAGGGGTTAAGTGAGAACATATTGTCGATTATAAGCATTGCTTTGGTTTGTGTGTCTTTGTAACTCAGGTTACAGCAGTAGGAATGTGTATGTCTCTGAGAAAAAGCATTAGGTTTAATGTACATGCTTCTGCATTTATGAGGCATGGCAGCGGTTTGTGTTAGTGGAGTAGTGTTTATGAGCTCTTTCACGAGTATTACAAGAGTCTGTAAACTCATCAGGTGGAATGTTAATGGATGTCGACCTGTGAGGGTTTCTGAGTAGTCAATTAAAATGTGACCAGCAGCAAGAATTACATCAGAGTCAACCCCTGAGCGGCATCACTTTGAAAAAAAAGAAAACAGCTACCTGAATGACGGAAAAAAAATAAACACACCTGGATTATACTAAGTATCAGATAAAAGCCTCACATTGGATGATTAAGGCACTGAAAATTACATTTCAGCTGGCAAAAAAAATAT